AAGAGCGTCCATGAACCCGTCGGCCACAAAGTTAGGCCTGAAATTGCTCCCATACTCTCTCTCGAATGCAGCCACGAAGTCCATCGCCTCTGCAGCCGCCGCCGAAACAGACATAAGCCTAGCAGAGGACTCAGAACTCCGACCCGATCCGAGCCCCAGCATACCAAGCGAATACGAAAGGACTCCACCCGCAGCCCATAATCCCAATCCGATCGCGCCTGAAACCAACCCTAGACTACCAGACACGATCGATATCGGCAGAGTAATGATCCTCCACGCAACTCCCGGTGGTCCGCGGTTGCGACTTCCTCCCATCTGAGCAGCAGCAAGTTCCGTATGGTCAACAGCATCATGAGATGGAGAATAATTCATGTCGCCGCCGCCGACGCTACCTCCACCAGCAGTGTTGGCGGACCGATCTCCGCCGCCTCCGAAGTCTGAAGACGAAGCGTCGTTGTTCGGATTGGAGGAAGTGAAGGAGGAGATCGCGAGTTCGAGGTCCCATCCATGGGCCTGGAGAATGTCGGTGCACAGATCGGGATCATCGAGGCCTGTGATCGCTTGGAAGTACGCCAATTTGTCGGCAACATCAGCCATTACAGCGAGAAGACAACCCGATCGATGCCGAAACCTAGAGATTTTCCCTCGCTTTTTCTCAGACAGATTTAGGGATCTCTCTCTCTCTCTTATCCTTCTAGAACTGGAAAACTGTTGAAAAATGGTTCATCTGCTCATGACGATAGCTTTTGTACAAATACCGAAAATGTCCCTGAACATGAACCAGATCAACGAGAGTGCCGATTTAGCTGCCGGAAACGCTGTCGTTTTAGCTTCTCAGGGCCCACTACTATACAAGGCAACGAAAGCCACAATCTCTGACTGCATTAGCATTACATTTACACCAATTGCATTGCACATTAAGACATATAGAAAAGAAAATTGCTGTAAAGAATGTCATTTCAAGCGGAAAATAAATAAATAAATAACCAAAATTTTGCAATCCAAATATCCCCAATGAGAATTTCTGAAAAACCCTCTTGGAAAAAAAAAAAATCCTCCGAAACAAAATCACAGTTAATATAATACAAATTCCGTACCAAATTTACTAATTGAAAAATAGTTACTCGAAGCAGGCTTCAATAATAATAACAAAAGAACAAAACTTTTAAGAGTATGGCAACTAGTCATTAGAAGTCATGAATCAAGAGTCGGTTGGCCCACAAGCTGATTTTCGTCCACTCATATCACAGTGATAATTCCAAATCTACCCCCACTTTTATCTTTTTTGGGCCGCATAACTCAAAATATTTGGGCTTTTTTGATAACGAATTGGGCTAAACCCAAATCTCGGCCCATCACAAGCTGTCGCGGACTTTGGACCGGAATGCTCGTGTTTCGATAAGGCCAACCGACTTCATTCCGAACATCGGCGTCTCGAAGTCCACAGAATTGCCATTTCTGTTGTTGGTAGCTCTTCGTCTAACTCTCTCTCTCTCAACCTCCAAATACACACACGCATACAAAGATTCGACCTTTTCTTTTTTTTTTTCCCTTGTTTTTCTTTTAATCTTCTCTGTTGAATCTGGGAAACACTTCCGGAAAAAGGGTCAGTTCTTTTTCTCCTGATTTTACCGACCCTTTGGAAAGCAATGGGTTTCTCGAGTGTTCATTTCTTCTGTGGCATGTCTGAAACTGATTGAATTCATAAATCTGAGTAATCTGGGGTTTTAGGGGAGATCTCATTAGGGTTCGTTGTCTTTGTGGAGAAATACGTTTATATAGCGGTTGCTTGGATAAATATCACGTCTTTATCGGCTTATAGTTCGGTTTAGGATTGGTTAAAGTGCCCTGCTTTATCAAATTGAGATCGTTTTCTTAATGAGTTGTGAAATGATGATCCTGTGGTGAGAAGGATTCTTGTAATTGGAGTTGCCCATTTTGTTTTCAGCAGATTGGTCTTTGAAATTTGGGTTTTTGGGTTGCGTTTATTGTTCTTTTAATCTTTTGTATCTCTGGGAAAAATCGTCACTTTTTTTCCTTTTCCGCCGTTTCACTAATCTTATGTTAAGATATCGTGCGTTGATCTTAATGAATCTTATCTGTGAGTTTTGTTCAGATCATCCAAATGCATGAGGCTGCTGTTGATCAATCCCTCGGTACCAAGAACGTCCTGACTTCAGCTCTTCATTTCGCCATCTCTGTCGAAACGCTGAATAACCCTCCCGAGTTTGCTAATGAGCTCAAAAACTCAGCTCAAGAACAAGTCGAATTCATGCTGGCTGAGGACCAAGAAGCCCGGTTACTGATTTCTGACGAGGAAGTCCGATCGGTCGTCAAATCCAGAATCTCTGACGTTCTATCGACGTTCTTGGACAGATTATCGTCACTGCTTCTTCCTGAGACCGATCTGGTTTCCGGGTTTTCAGAGGACAATGTTCTTCAGACACTCTCAGATATCGAATGGCTATGTAAAGTACTGCCTAGGATGGAACTGATGAAAGATCTTGTTTCCAAATGGGCCGATATCTCGGGCAAGATTCTGGCTGTAGCAGAGAACTGCAAGTTTGATTCTCGGCTATGGGGCGTGAAGATGAAGTTGGCTGAAGTAACAGGGAAGGTTCTGGAAGCAGTCGGGTACGGAACCGTGGTTCTTCCTTCTAGAAGCAGGGTTTGTCTTTTGAAGACATGGTTGCCTTTCATGAGGAGACTAAAGACTATGCTTGAATCGGAGGGTTCTCAATCCGGGTTCAGAATGGACGAAGATCTCTGCGAATGCATAGAAGGATCGATGGTATCGTTGGTCTTGACACTTCCTTCGGACGATCAGACGGAGGTTCTTGGCGAATGGATGAGAGGGATCGAGCTGGATCAGGTTAAATTCCCGGATTTGAGCGAAGCATTCGAGGTTTGGTGTTATAGGACTAAGTCTGCAAAGAGAAGGTTGTTGGAAAGATGTGATAGACTTGCAACTTTGAACCCTGCCCTTTGATTAGTGGCCTCTGTTAATTTGTCTTTGCAAACATCTAAATTTTAAGAATTTGCGGATTTAACTAATCAAGTTCCAAACTCTTTGGAACAGAAATAGTTTAGTTCCAACCTTCTCTTCAAACTGTTTCCTTCTTGTACGAGTGTAAATTAAGATGGACAGTTCGGTTAATAATAGCGATTCGAACCAAATTGAACTTATAGTCAATGTTAAGCTGATTTGAATATAAAATAAAATAAGTATAATTCTTCTCTAATCGAGAAAAAAACGAATATGAATTAAATCGCGACCAAGCACAAAAAAAGTCGAAAATATTTTTGAAAACAAATGTTTTCTATCAATAATAAAAATCTGAATCGAACCAAAACAGAAATAGTTAAAATTATTTTTTAAATCGGAATAATCGAACCATTTTTTTATATGGGCTTTGATAATCGGAATCATCCCGTATGCTTGTGTTTCTGAAAAAGGCCCATGTTGACCCAATGGAGAATGAATCCGGGCTTCTTTATTATGTAAAAGCCCATACTGACCCAATGTCTTCGTACATGGGCCCAAATACTTTCCTAATGCGAAAACGTGACACGTCATCAGAAGTTTAGCCTGGGAATGTTCAGTTAATTCCTTAAAAAATAAAAAATATGCCCTTTGGTCTGTGTTATATTATAAACATCGATTTCGATACGGTATAAGATTTCTTTTTTACTCTCTAGTGGTTTACACAGAAGTTGAAAACGATTTATATCTGCCCACAAAATGCATATATACGTCCTTCAATTAAAACTTTCAAATTACTGATATTTTTTTTTTTAATTAGGAGGTTTACCTGAGCCTTCGACCCAGGTCTGGCGACAGGGGCGCAGAGAGCAACACCCTCCCAATCGAGAAATTATCTCTCTCCCTTCCCAACAGTTGGAATCGAACTTGTGACCTGGAGTCCAAAGAGCACATCCAACATAACCACTCGTCCACTACTAATTGGGTATATATATATATATATATTCTTTTTTTTATACATTGGGAACTCCGGCTGCTACCCTTCGGGCGCGCTGACCGAGTAAACCCAAGCCCACACGCACGAGCCTACAACACACGCGTGAGAGGTAAATCAACCGTAATTGACAGATAGATGAGCGGGCAAGGAGTCAAACCCCAACCTCTCGATATATTGATCATACTTCTTGCCAACTCACCTAGGGGTTTCCCCATATATATATATATATATTCTTGAAGAGGTGTATCTGTCATTATATGTTATGTGAACATTGATAGAGACATCTCACTGAATTGTGGATAAAATCCAATCACTTGTGGTTCACTCTTTGCTTTGGATACAGTTTCCATTCATTTTCAATGACTTTTGATGTTTGCTTCTGCTTTCTCACGTCACGTATTTTCGGCTTTGGCAAATGTCACCGTTTTGTTCCATTTGATAAGGCGATGCAATTTTTTTTATAAAATCATATTATCGTTTTTTTACTATTTTTTTATTTATTTATCATGAAATAAATGTTAACGGACCAGATGAAATACATATATATAAAGAATTTGAACCTGTTTCTATTATATATTCAATTTCCGCCGGGATAATAGAATACAAGAAACACGTTGTCTAATCAATTTACGTAATAGATCACATCATCTGTTTCTACATAACAAGGATAGAATCCCAAACTAATTATTGCAATTATTATAATGAAGAGCAAACATATTGTATATATATGTATATTTATGTGTGTGTGTTCTTAGTTAAAAAAAAAAAGGTGGAGATGCATAATTGTACACATTATACGGATTAGATGAATCATTAGAAAATAATTACAGTATATTAACATAGTGAGACTATATACACATAGTCAAAAAAGTGATTACAGAGCTAATCATGTGAGGTTACTATTAATATGCTGAACGATGAAGCCTCTGCATATCCATAAATTATAACGCCGTACCCATTTGACATATGACTCGACAATTGAATATTTCATCCTCTTTTTTCTTACCAAACAACTTATGCCATGGTTTATAAAAAAAAAACGTTGACTGTATCTTACATTTACAAGTCAATTCTATTTATTTTTTCTTGAAGTGTTATGGTATACTATTCAAACTTGATTATTCTATAATTTGTTTATTTTTTATTTTTTTATAATCCGCAAATTTACTGAGCTTTTTACCCAATTATATTTTTCATAAAAACGGAGAAGTACAAGTGAATGTTGAAGTAGAAAAATAAACGTTGACTGTATCTTACATTTACAAGTCAATTCTATTTATTTTTTCTTGAAGTGTTATGGTATACTATTCAAACTTGATTATTCTATAATTTGTTTATTTTTTATTTTTTTATAATCCGCAAATTTACTGAGCTTTTTACCCAATTATATTTTTCATAAAAACGGAGAAGTACAAGTGAATGTTGAAGTAGAAAAATAAATATGTGATTGGAGGAAAATCTAGATTTTGGAGGAACACAATATTATGTTAAATATTGTGAATCATATTTATTTCCGTTATATTTATATTTCTTTTTATTTCATTTGTTAATTTTCCTATAAATATGTGAGTTATTTTCATTGTAATGGAACAAGAAGAAGAAGAGATGTAGCAATAAAAGTAATTCCGTTCCTTTCTATTTGTCTTATTTTATTTCCGCATTTTATTTTTCTATGGACGCACTCTATACGTGTTTCGACGCACTCTAAGTATGTTTGGATGATCTGCTCTATATCTTTTTTTTTTTCTCAATTTCTTCTTTTTTTTTTTAGTTTTGGATGTTCATATATCCAAATCGTTCAAATATGAGTAAAAATCCCAAAATCAAACGAGGTGTTATGACAAAAAGAAGCCAAACCTAAAAACTCTAAGATCAAGCGAGGTGCTATGACAAAAAGAGTTAAAGGTAGAACTTCAAAGTCAAGCGAAATGATTTGAACATGAGTAATATTCTCTAAAAGAACTAAATTTTGTGTTTATGGATTTTTCAAAAGACAATGAAAATGTCTATGGATTTTTATCGCATTATCTTTTCAAGATTGATTTTTGCATTCTTTCAAAATCAATCTTGAGGGGAATGTTGAAGTAGGAAAATAAATATGTGATTGGAAGAAAATCTAGATTTTGGAGGAACACAATATTATGTTAAATATTGTGAATCATATTTATTTCCGTTATATCTATATTTCCTTTTATTTCATTTGTTAATTTTTCTATAAATATGTGAGTTATTTTCATTGTAATGGAACAAGAAGAAGAAGAGATGTAGCAATAAAAGTAATTTCGTTTCTTTCTATTTGTCTTATTTTATTTCCGCATTTTATTTTTCTACAGTGAATACTTTTTTTCCAAACGGAAACTCGAACGTTGGTTGAAAAAAAGCTTTGCTTCTTTCCGATCCAGTTGAGCCACCGAATTTTGAATATCTAAAGATTTATAAGTTTAGTTTGGATAAACAAATGAAAATACACTATTTCTACTGCACAAATTTCCACTCTATTTGACATAAATTTACTACCAAACATAAGGAATAAAGCTCCCTCCCTATCTTAACTTATTATTTCATGGTACAAATTAAAATATATTTCGATATATAAAACATACGATTGAATTACCATTACAATCTACCTCTTAGATAGATAGATGAAAACTAGTTAATATTTAAATAAAATAGTGGAAAAAGTTATCATTCACATGAATTAATTAAACTCATATATTTTATTTTGTTGGTAAGAGAGATATTGCAAGGTAGGAATGCAAAACAAGTCTAGTTTACGAACCGGCTCACAGACCGCTTCGTTTTTAATCGAATTAGATTGAGAAATATAAATTGGAAAAAAATGGGTTCACAAACCGAGCTCATTACGGGTAACCCGTCAACCTGTAAACTATAATTTTTTTTCTTCAAACAATAATATTTTTATTAAATTGTTTTTTATTATTATGTAATTAGTTTTATTATTTTTTATTTATTTCGCGAACTGAATCGATTTGGGTCAACCATAATTTTTTCATTCGGGAAAAATGAACCGCAGTCGGATCGAGCCGTACGAGGACGAGTCGAACCAGCCTGTTTTATATCGTGTTGCAATGGCTCGGTCTCGAACCGGGTCATCCCGTTTTACAAGTGAAAAGGACAAAACACACAAACATAATTGGGAATAGTCATGATGATGATGATGATGATGATGATGACGCATAATTAATTCCACGTACCTAAACTTATTGTTCCATGTAAGTTGCGCGCGAAACCCACTTTGTATCTGTTCATAATTCCACAGAGCATTAAATTAAAAATGCATGCAAACCTCTCTCACACACACACGCATATACATATACATGTACACACACTATTCCAATGTCATGCATGTCCATAAAGTTTTCCATAAGTTATACTAATAATTTACTTATCGGATAGGACTTATCCACAGAGTCCCTGACCTTTCCCCGACACAAACCAAGTTTTGATTATACTATTTTTTGGATGGTTAAAGTACCGATTGGTATTATTGGGTTTGGGTTTCTTCGGTTCATATAAACCGATCGATATATATACTTCATAGACTTTAATTATAACCGATCGATAACCAAATCGAATATAATGTAAATTGTCTTGACTTTTGGATATAACTAAACGTGGCAACGGTTCAGTTTTGCTTATGTTTCGAAACATAAATTATACGATTTGTCATGAAAGCAAATTGCATATTCGATGAGGTATTTTTGAAAAAATAAATAAAATAAAGAGGAGAGCAGAACAAGGGTCCAGATCTGTATCGATGGAAACATAGATAGTGGGATGTATTATTTCGTGGGCACAGAGATCGAGGAGAATGTTTTTGTGGGTCCCCCAGTCTCCAACCCCTATGACTCTTGTCCAGTCAGATTATTCTTCCCACTTTCTTATTTTTCTATTATTATTATTATTTTAAAATAAATAACATTCTTCCGCTTGATTTTTCAACCTGTAATTAGGCTTCAAAAACAATCCACCTATATATGACTTTATAGTAATATTCAACTACACTATAAAATATTCTCTTTATGAATAGACCATCAAATCTTTGAAAATCTGATCTCTCTCTCTCACACATACACATATATATCCTGTAAATATTTGTAATTAATGACAAAAATAAAATAAAATAGATGTAAAACAATATATATATATATATATACTCACAAAATAAAATCCCAAGCAAAGTTGAAAAGATTACATGAATCGGATTCAGATATCAAATAATTATTATTCACACACGTACGAGAGTTCACGTTATAAAAAGATTCACGAAAAGCAGCACTTGTCGTACCGTCAATACATGATCGAAATTAATATACTGACGAACCATACAATTAAGTTGAAGGGGGGAAATGAGTTGTAAACCAATTAATATTCAACTAAAATTCAATAAATATATATACACATATTTAGTGAGGGTCATGTGAGATGTGATCAGAGCTTACCTGTCCCCTTTTAATTTCTCTTGATTTTTCACATCCCGTTTTGTTCTCTTTGGAAGCCCGCCTTCAATGCCTTTGAAGTATCTTTTGCTTCTTGATTTGCATCTATACACACATACATACATATATATATATATATATATATATATATATATATGTGTGTGAGTTTATATATGAAGGGGTTATAATAAACTTCGCCTTAATACTTGAACCCTAATTTTAGTTTATTTTCTCAGAAACTTCATCCGGATAAACATATAGTCAATAATGACTAACCACGCATTGATATATATACACTAACCCTAACTTTACGAATATCGCGTAACGAAAATTGTTGCGAATAAAATTCACCATATATGATATCGTATGAAATATTATATTCTGCATTTGTTTAATTAAGTCCAAATAAAATTTTGGTAGAAAGTGAAATGAAAAATACATAGATAATGGCCATATAGAGAACAGAAGGGAACATGAACAACCAACCAATTTATCCTTTAAAAGTTGTGTTAGTAGGAAAAGAAATAAAGACAAGTCATTGATTCATGCATGCACCCCACATTTTTAAAATCAAATTAACCCCAAAGATTAACCCCCAAAAAAAGGAGAGACACACCAAGAAAAACCAAAGGGGAAGGAGATTAATTAATTAAATACCATAATTAATCACTCTAGTATATCTTCAAGACTTAGAGTTGTTTCACCATGATCCTCCACTCAGCATCCCAGTCCAATACCCTGCAGAAGCAGTAGCATCACCACCTTGCTTTTGATCATTAATCTCACTGATTATATTATGATTAGACGTTGTTGATGCTGATGATAGAGGGACTGGCAATTTCAAATCCTCAAATGGGAACAGGAGCCTCTCACCAATCCCAGAACCGTCTTCTTGCTGAGCGCCGTGGTGGAACCCACGATCAAGTGAAAACCCTAGAAGTGATGTTGATGTGCATGGCTTGTAGTGATCTTGCATGGAAAACCCAGATGGGTCTTGATGATGATGGACAGATGGCAAAGCCATGAATGAGTTTGAACTCCCGCTGTTGCTGCTCAGGAGATCCAAAGACGATGTCGTCATAGCTGCTGAAGTGGCAGAACATGAGGGTAAAAGTACTTGGTTGCTGTTGTTATTCCCACCGTACTGGATGAGTTCAGTTAAATTGCTTCTGAACCCATGTGGGAAACGCAGATTGAGATCTTGGGTCTCATGGAATTTAGGGTTTTGACCGGTCAAACCTTGTTGGGTCATACTCATCAGGTGGTGCTCAGAGAGATGCTTCTTTGGAGCTGGCAATGGCGCAGAATTTGAGGGATTATTAATGTTATGATTATGGCCATTGGAATAATTGGATCTCTTGTTCTTCCTTGAGCCACCGCCGACAGGGATGTTCCTGAGAGATCCACCTTCAGTCCAATACCTTCGACAAGTCTTGCAGAAGTACCTTGGCTGTGTAAGACTGTAATTGTTGTAATAGCAAAATTTTGTGTTTGTAGAGTTGCATCTTGGGCAGTTCAAAGCTTGATCCTTTTGTGGTCTCGCTTTTCTCTCTCCTCCTCCAGCAGCTTCGGCTTCAGTTGCAGCCACCGCCCCATGTGCAGTCGTCGTCTGCTGCGGCGGCGGAGGCTGCAAACGCGGCGGCTTGGGGCATGTGTTTGTTATTATCTCCTCCAAGGGTTTGACCACAATCTTCTTGATCAAATTCCAAGAAACAAAATATACAAATTAACACCCAAAATAATTATATCTATCATCTATGGACACACACCCACACCCACGCACTTATATATATATATATATGGTTATTTGGGTATATGATATATGGCGAATTGTAAATTTGTTGGAAGTGGAGATTATTGTGAAGGAGAAAACAATTCAAAGAACAACATACAACGGCATATAGCATTATGTGTACATGAAATGGTCGTAATCAACACAAAAATGTTATGAAAAACTCAGGTCATGTGTGAAACCAGAAAAAAAAAAGCGAGGGTCGGAAAACAAAAGAGTAAAGTGCAGAAGGATAAAAGTCATAAAAAATATGAAAGGCCATAAATAATGAAAAGAAGAAGCTCCAAAAACATCATCATCTTTGGAAAAAGAATGAAAGGGAAAAAAGCAAATCACATACAAACAAGAACGCATAGCAGAAGCATCAATTCCAAAGATCAAGAAAAGGATATATAAATACATACATATTTACACACATCTAAATGTAAACATATATATATATATACCTGTGGCCATTGAGCAGTATCCATGGAGATATGAAACTTTCCCAGATCAGAAGAAACTCAAACTGATCCTTTCTTTCTCTGCTTCTTTTTGGATTTGTATCTGGTGTGTGTTTTTTTTTTTAATTTTGTTTTTGGGTGAAGAGAAAGGGAATTTTGGTTCTTGAGAGATCTTTTTGTGTGTGGAAGTTCTGTGTATGTTCCTCTGGTCACATTTGCTTTATGGCTTGAGAGAGAGAGAGAGAGAGAGAGAGAAATTATAATTTAAATAAAGCGATCAAATTGCATAATATAAGACTATTAAAACATTCCGAGTGGAATCTTTGTCGTAGTGAAACTAAAACGAATACTTTAATACGTGCGTATATATAGATTATATATATATATATATTTCTTACTGTATATACATATATATATATATTATAATTGTGTCAGTGTCTTGTGTCTATGACTTTTACAACTCGATTGGTGGAGTAATTATGCGTAAATTAATTGGATTATCATCTTGAATTCGGATAAGTCATATATTTATTTAATATACACTCACATAATTACATTGTTGATACATAAAAGGCTAAAAAAGACTGATTATAATAATATTGTATATAAAATTAATATGCGATTCATTTACAAGGGTACGTAGTTTCAGCTTTAATTACGTTGTTAAGAACTTCAAACGATAGCACTAGGAACACGTGTTTTTATTGGTTACTTATTTAATAAATTAGACAACATAAGCTATTTAATTAATTCCTTATCCTCTTAAGTATTCTTAGTAATAAAAGAATAACTTAATTGCGAAATTGCTATATATGGAATTTATTTTCATATCCAACGCGTTAGCTCATGAAATAAGTAGCACATCTTCTAAAAAAGTAGATATTACAGCGCATAAAAATCCATAAAATCTTCATTTACCTTTTTTTTTTATAATTAACAATCTCCATTTTCTATATATTAAATTAATTTGCTATCTGCAAGCTTTACCTGCCTAATCTTTATGCATGCATGTGAGTTTACTTATAATAATATAATCAAACCTGCTTGTTGAACTAAAATTCGGTAATCACTTGTGTCTATTACTGTATATATGACACAGTACTTGTATTAAGTTATATAAACTTACATATGTATTAAGTTTTTTTTTGGTTTACATATGTATTAAGTTATCATCGTGGAGGGGTGCAAATTTATATGAAACTTCCGTATAATATGTTTGTACGGAATAATTGAATTCAGAGTACCTAAAAAGTTGACCCTTCGCATTGATCCCTTTTATTCTTGAATAAAATAAAAATAAATTCAATACAATATATATTCGATAATATATATATATATACGTGAGAAAAAAATGTAAAAAGCAGGGAACCAAACACGTCCTCAGCGGTCCACATGCTGAAGAAATAAAGAGATAAATTATCTTTAATACACATTACCGTCTTTCACGTGTGTCTTAAGATTCCATTAGGATATAATTGGCTGTGTCGCAGCCGATATGATTGAACGGCCCTGATTCACTCATGATTTCCCACCGGACGGTAATCATGACGTGGATTTGATCGGAGTAGGAGGACCCACCGCCACTTGGCCTCTGCGTCATTGCCACGTGGGCTAACTTTGTGTACAAAACAGCTCAAAAACACCTAATACACCCCCCTCCATGTGCCGACCTAATGAGCAAATGGATGTAATGTAACCAAACACATAAAATATATACGAGTTTGTACGTATAACATTTATAAAACGGAAATGAAATATAAAATTATGATGCATTCCAAAAGGACGCGATTAACGTGGTGGATATGATGGTTCGTCCAATTATATTCATACATGTTAAAAACGACCCATCTAGTGGCATTTTTGGATTACAACTTTTTTTTTTGGTTAAATTGGTTTACGACTTTTCGAATACAATTATAGGGGGATTATAAATATGTGGGAAAAAACTACAATACAAAAAATGATATAAAATATACGGAATTTCAAGGTATGGAGAAATAGTTATTTGTTCGTATAATAGTGAGGCAATTGATTTTTTTATTTTTGGTTAGACCGACAATTTCATTAGAAGAATTTAATGTGAAAGGGCAAGGAAACGAGGTCCGAGATTATGACACGTGTCAAAACATGAGTTGACTGAGGGGCTAATGGACGGTGATGAGGACCCCACAGCCATGCGCGTGCCCTCCTAACGAAGGAAGTATATGGGAAATCTGAACCGTCCGATCATTCCTGTGGGCCCTAGTTATACGTGGACAGCATCTACAATTGCGGTCCAAATCAGCCTATGTGGACAAGCCCACACCTAACGAACTTGTCTATTTTATGGTTACACTTATCAAACTATTCAAGCTTAAATAACCCACGCAGTGCACAGGTTTATTTCAATTTTCTGGATCCCATTCCATTATGTGATTGCCATATTCTAAAATATAAAAATATTTTTAAGTTCAACAAAATCTCTAACAATATCGTTATCTTTTCTTCTAAGTTACAATGTAATACAGGTTAAAATAAAATAATTATATTATCTCAAAATCTTTTCTGTTCTCTCCAGTTGCTATCAATTTACAGTGTGTATATATAAATCATGATTAATATCATATTTATAATTGAAAATAATTATTTAACATGATTTGAGAGTTTTTTTTTGTTAACCTTGATTTGAGAGTTTTATTTGCGAACTTTCATTGTTTCTATCTTTTTATAACTAATCAACGATTCTTATGTAAAGATGTTTTATTTTTGTCAGCTTCACAATTGGAACGTTTGAGGTTTATTCAAAAGGAAATCCAAAAAAAAAAAATCTCAAAGTTTTGAATTTTGTTAAGTAAATACGTGAACTAAAATTTGTGGTTAAAATTCCTCAGCTATATATATATATATATATAATGTGTTGATATTACCGTACATGATAAATGACATGACTACTTATTAAGTTTTTTTATTGTTATATCAAAGATTATATGTCGGATTCTATAGAGTTGCCGGATTCTGTAAAAACATAAATAATATGTTGTATAGTTTTCTTGGAATCGATTCTAAAGTTGATGGTTTTATTTAATATAAAAAATTGTGTATATTTCTGTCAAAGTCTTATGTATTTTCTTAAAAATTGATGCTTACTAATTTTGCGTATAAATAATATTCTTTTCATTTCTTAATACCCGACGTTTTAACTTTTTTATAGTTTTTAAAGAAATATTAAAAAAGCATTTATATTCTTATTTAATATTTTATAGTTTTACTTAAGGCTAAATTTAGAAAATATATTTAAAAAATTAAAATGACATCTATTAATTAAATAATAAAATATGTTATTTAGCTATCTAGAAACGGGGTCTTTTTTTCTTAAAAAAATCAAGAAGATAGCATAAGCTTAGGGTTTGCAGTTGGTGGTGTTTAGGCCGTTGGATTGGGGCCATCCCCGTGACAACGCCTCTTAGAAACTTTCAGCCGTCGGATTCAACGCTGGCGGCATCTCAAAGTGGTTTCACATGCCACCGCAAACAGACAAACCCCACTCAGCAACTTGTCTGTGTTCCCATATAATATACACACACAGTGCCACTGCCACAATTCCTCCAAGGCGTACGTAGACATAATTGGATGCGATAGATGAGATCTACTAAGATTTTATGGGTTTTTTTATTTTTTAATTTTGGTAATGAAAGTGACTGGTTCGTCCTAACCCCAAATGGAAACGATCCAAAGACAGAGAATGTTCATCAGATGATACAAAGTCATGTAAAGACCAAAGAATCTATAACAAGAAACAACGTCCGACACAGGTGCTCACAATCAGCCACAAACTTAACAGATCACCAAGAGAATTGCAAAATCTCAGCTCAAGACTAAGTCTAAGCACTCCCCTTAATACCATGACCAGAATCAAAGACAGTGTACACAGACATACACACACACACATATATATATATATATATATATATATATTCAATATAGGTTTTTTAATCAGTAAAAGCTACACAATGTCGCTGACTTGTAAGCTTATCCAGAATCAAAGACGATATATGTTCCACAACCCCACTTCATCAAGAGATCGATTCACTGCTAAAAACACTCATAGGAGCACAAATTTCAGAAATTTTAGAACGGCGACATATATCTACATGACAGATCTCTGATTAGTAGCTACACAATAATATAGAAGAAACGAGGATGAAGCGTTCGAATACAGGAAAACCCGAGATCAATCCGACCCAATTCACAATCAAGTTCTGAATTAAGCATGGAGGTATGCATAAAGTCCACGTCTTTCTTCTTCTGCGCCATGTCTGACAATCAACGAGGATGAAGCGTTCGAATGCAGGAACACCCGAGATCAAGCCAACTCATTTCACAATCGAGTTCTGAACAAAGCATGGATGAATTACAAAGTTCACGTCTTTCTTCTTCGCCACGTCTGACAATCAATTTCACATACCACAAAACAACACGCATCAGTATCCACTCGAAATGCAAGTATAATCAGAGACGCATAGATAATATTTCGAGGAAAATCTTACTACCAGTCTGCAACCCACAATCCAAGATCAGAGGTGTCCTTAAACGCTATATACCACCCACATTTTGATCAACGGGAAAGGACAACACGAAAATCAGAATTATGTAAAATATATTTTTATCATTTAGTCAAAAGCGCATCTGGTGTAGTGGTATCATAGTACCCTCCCACGGTACTGACCGGGGTTCGATTCCCCGGATGCGCATTATTTTTCATTTTCAATTATTTTTTGGTTCCATTTGTGAAATTTTTTTTTTTTTTTTTTTGGTATGAAAAGGTGAATATCATATATAAGTAAAGTCTTTGTACAAAACCAGCCTAAGCTGTACGGATATCCATGTTACAAAATGTTCGTGTCTCGCCTTAAGTTTCTAATGCAGCCGTGATCGAATTCCTTCCGATAACCGATACCAATCCTGAAGTGGAGAGCCATTTGTGGAGGTTGTAGGTTTCCTCCCAGATAGTAAGATATTCCTCAATATCCGATCAATGATAGAAATTACTGATTCCGCCGTTTTCGTCTTGTTTCTGAAGATTCTTGCATTTCTTTCCTTCTAAATCTGATATGCAACAATTTGGGTAAGAAGCAAAGCCAAGGTAGACTTGTTGTTGTTCCTGCCAGTGTTGGAACTACTCATCCATGTCATGAAATGCTCAATCCACGACGGAGGGGAAGGCCAGAGTAAGCTTGCAAGACGTGTCCAGATTGAGTTGCTGAAACTACATTCAAAGAACAGATGGGAATGTGTCTCCGGTTGAGCATAGCATAATACACATGTCGGGGTAATTTGCATACCCCATTGGAGCAGACGATCCTTAGTGGGAAGACGGCGAAGCATGATTTCCCAAATTAGAAACGCGAACCTGGGAATAGATTCTTTAAAGCATGATTTCCATTTGTGAAATTGTTGTGTACTTATCAGTTTTTATGTAAACAGAACGAATTAAACATGTTTCGACTAATAAAACTGATGCTACTAAATACATAAACTCAAGATTGTTCTGTCAATATAATAACATCACTTAACCATGTTAACTCTATATTAACTCAGTCCTAAAACATACCAAAAAAAAACTCAGTTCTAAAAATTGTGAGCGAGTGGTCACCATGTGGGTGCAAAGCACTCAGAGGTTGGTGGTTCGATTTCTGGTTGGGGAAGAGTTTTCACATTGACTACCCCGATCCTCTGGGAGATGTAGTTGGACCAAAGGTCCGGTGAACTTCCGAATTATCAAAAAAAGAAAAAAATGAGTCCTAAAATGAGAAAAACGGTTTCGAGCTTTGTGCAACGTTTGAGATGTGGTCGTCATCTGCAATTTTTCACGGACTGTAAACCATATACATACATACATACAATTGTTCTTGAATGATTTTGATAAAACGATCTATATCATAATATATATATACATATAAGAATAATCCACCATAGAGTGGTCGAGTGGTCGGTCTAAGGTGAAAATCATCACAAATCGAGTGTTCGATTATCATGGTGAGAGAGGAGATAATTTCTGGATCAAAGGCTGTTTTTGGATTAGAAATTTACTTAATCAATGCATCCGAAAGATAGTAGTTATGTTCTTCAGTTATAAAAAATATATATATATACAAGAATGATAATGAAACCTATATCTAAGGGAACTCTTTTTTTTTTATGGTAAGTTATAGAATTATTTAAGCCGTCAAAAAAGTTTTTATCTTTTGTTTATATGATATTTACTGCCCGTTGGCAAGATCCACATATACCAACCTTGTGTTTGTCAAGAAACCACTTCTGATTATCAAAGTTTAAAATCAATTACTTATGGAGATAGTTAGTATGGATTAGTAAGAGATTTACATTATATTCCATAATTGTAATGCTTTTAAATAAGAATTAGGGGAGTTTTGAAAGAGGTTTTTTTGTAACAAATGAAAATGAGATCCATGATTTTCTGGTACTCAAGAGAGGTGAGGCCATTATTAGCTAAAATATTTAGATGGATTATGCATGGTAAATGTCAACGAAAGATGGATTAATTAAAATCCAAATCAAATTAAGGTGGCTGTTTGTTGCTTAATTATGGTGACCTGGACCGTCAAGCCACCTTCCCTGTCTTGTCCCCTGAGGAGTATTATTGTTCAGCGTCCAACTCACTCTAGTTCTCTCTCTCTCTCTCTCTCTCTCTCTCTCCTCAAACCCTGATCAGGCTTATCATTACGATTAAAATACTCCAGTTCTACAGAGTACAGGTGCTCTTCCTCGTGACACGTGGAAGAATCGCAACGGTTCCGACAATATGAGATGGAGATTTTGACTTTCTTATAGATTTAACTATATAATGTCGCATGAATCAGAAAATTCGTAGCTTGATTGTTATTGTTTTCGCTCTTTTCTCATCACTTTTAATCTGCAAATCTAACATTAACCCCTTAGATAAAGTATAAATTACCGATTTACCACGCGCTGGCCGTTGTCTTCTCATGTCAGAAGCAATATTAGCATATACATACATTGCGCTTACCCTCTCTCACTGACTGACTCTATCTCCCTCTGCGCTCCTGTTACCTACCTGGATCCAATCCAATCCAATCCACCTTCTCTCTCTCATACACGTCAGCAATGCCGGGTCTCGTCTCAGTCAAAACTCCGGCGGACGCTCCGCCGCTACGCCTCGCCGTGCCGGAGGCACAGCCTCAACGACCCGAACCCACGAACCCACCACGGACTCCGATGAAGAAGCCACCGTCCCCGACCCCATCCCGATCCAAACCCTCCCCGGGTCGACCCGGTAAGAAACAATCCGACTCACCGGGTCTATCCTCCGCCACCGCCGCCGCCGCTGCTGCCATGGACGATCCGTCTCTCGACAACCCCGATCTCGGCCCGTTCCTCCTCAAGCTCGCCCGCGATGCCATTGCCTCCGGCGAAGGACCCAACAAAGCCCTAGACTACGCGATCCGCGCCACCAAGTCGTTCGAGCGCTGCTGCGCCGCCGCCGCGCCCGCCATCCCCGGCGGCGGCGACGGCGGACCCGTCCTTGACCTCGCCATGAGCCTCCACGTTCTCGCCGCCATCTACTGCAGTCTCGGCCGGTTCGAGGAGGCTGTCCCGCCGCTGGAGCGGGCCATCGAGGTTCCCGACCCGACCCGAGGATCCGACCACGCTCTCGCAGCGTTTTCCGGCCACATGCAGCTCGGAGACACGTTCTCGATGTTGGGCCAGATCGATCGATCTATCGCTTGCTACGAAGAAGGGTTGAAGATCCAGATCCAGACTCTGGGTGATACGGATCCACGAGTCGGAGAAACTTGCAGGTTCTTCTCTCTTCAATGTTCGTCTTAATTAATGAATCTAACGGTTCAAGTAAAATTGTCTGCATTTTCTATCGGTTTTCGGCAAATAATCTATGTGATGGGTTTTCTGAAAGTTAATAACTTTTGGATTTGGATTTAACTCTACAATTACAGAATTCTGTTTATTTCCGCGGCGGGTCTGAGCTCCATACTTGGATAAAAAGATGGAATCTGACTCGAAATTTACGAGCTTTTCGTCTCTGAATTGATTCTGATTGTGATCTGAACTCGGAGCTCTAAATTCAGAGAGATCGAAAAGCTTTGGTGTTTGGATTAAATGATCCAATCTGAATCTCTGAAAGTTTTTCTTTAATTGGTTCAGGTACTTAGCAGAAGCTTATGTTCAGGCAATGCAGTTCGATAAAGCCGAGGAGTTGTGCAAGAGAACTCTAGAAATCCACCGTGTCCACAGCGAGCCGGCCTCTCTGGAAGAGGCGGCTGACCGACGCCTGATGGCCATAATCTGCGAGGCCAAGGGAGATTACGAAAACGCCCTCGAACACCTCGTCCTGGCCAGCATGGCCATGAACGCCAACACACAAGAAACCGAGGTTGCCTCCATTGATGTCAGCATCGGCAACATTTACATGTCGCTGTGCCGGTTTGACGAGGCTGTTTTCTCATACCAGAAGGCTCTTACTCTGTTCAAGTCCTCTAAAGGTGAGAACCATCCATTGGTTGCTTCGGTTTTCGTCAGATTGGCCGAGCTTTACCACAGGACGGGGAAACTCCGTGAGTCCAAATCCTACTGTGAGAACGCATTGAGGATATACAACAAGCCGGTTCCTGGCACGACTGTGGAGGAGATTGCCGATGGATTGATGGAGATTTCAACGATTTACGAATCTGTGGATGAACCCGAGGAGGCGTTGAAGCTGCTTCAGAAGGCGATGAAATTGTTGGAGGATAAGCCGGGACAGCAGAGCGCCATTGCAGGTAACATCAATCAAATTTATAGGGAACTTTTTTGTATCTCTGTGGAAACTATTTCCTCTGATATAATGTTGTCTGGTTAAAGGGCAATAAAACGATTTGATTCTCCGAGGGTAGATTTGCTTTGTACCCACCTGAGATAAGAGCAATACCGGCATGAGACTTTCTGGCTTTTCTGCGTAAACTTCTGTGACATAGATCATCATACTATATACACACACGCAGGGCTGGAGGCACGGATGGGAGTGATGTATTACATGTTGGGAAGGTACGAGGATTCGAGAAACGTGTTTGAGAGCTCAGTGACGAAACTAAGGGCGGCAGGGGAGAGGAAATCAGCCTTCTTCGGGGTTGTATTAAACCAGATGGGATTGGCTTGTGTTCAGCTCTTCAAGATCGATGAGGCGGCTGAACTGTTTGAGGAAGCCAGAGGAATTCTCGAAAGCGAGAGAGGGTCATGCGATCAGGACACACTCAGTGTCTACAGCAATCTGGCTGCGACCTATGACGCCATGGGAAGGTATGTTCTTCCATGCCGCTTTTCGGTGAATTTATCGGTATACAGAAACTGGAATTTAGACTGATCCGTATGGTAAAAAGGGAAGAACTCGGTGGGTATTACCCTAACCAGAACCGTTGCCAACACTGATCAGTAGGATAGGAACGGTGGAACCACCATAACTGCTATGCCCTTTTCTCGGGTCGATGAAAATCGAAAGAATGTGCTTGATTGGTAGACCAAACCCAGACCAAATGTTCGTTTTTTGATTGTAAAGGAACGAACTTGTTCCTTGATGTGTGGCCACCAAGGACTGAACTTCATCAGAATAGAGAAACCAAAGCTGAAACTGGTCGCTACGCCATGAAACTAATGTTGTTTTTGATTATACCCATATGCGCATGTATATACATACACATGGAATGCACTTAGATCTGGGCTGCGGTCTGATTTGCAGAATAGAAGACGCCATTGAAATACTGGAGCAGGTTCTGAAGCTGAGAGAGGAGAAGCTGGGGATAGCGAACCCTGACTTCGAGGTGGAGAAGAGACGTTTGACGGAGCTTCTGAAGGAGGCAGGCCGATCCAGAAACCACAAAGCCAAATCTCTCCAGAATCTGATCGATCCCAACGCCAGGCCTCCCAAGAAAGAGCCTTCCGCTAAGAAATGGCCAAGTCTGGGTTTCAAATTCTGAACCAGGCATTAAAACAAAAAACAGTTCCACACACACATATATATATATATATTATTTCGGTGTTATTTGGGGTTCTGGAAAAATTCAATCTTTGTAACATAAAATGGGCCCTGATTGTACAGTGTTTACTTTGAGCATGTTTGTATTTGAGTTTGAGAAATTCTTGGATCTAATTCTTTGTGATTTTATCCCATTTAAGTGTTGGTATTTTCAATGAATTTAACAAGTACGGTGAATTTTTCTTTTATTGGTCAAATTTTGGAATTTGGTTTTACGCATTTGAAAAATGCCATTTGAGTGTTAAAAGTTTGTAACGAGCTTTGCCGTATTTGTTGTTCGCTTCTCCTTCACTTTGGCATATTCCGTCTGATTAACAAATAATGACAAGTTTTAATCATAACAATATTAACACACATATGTGTGTGTATATATATATATATAACTAATAATAAATCGTAACATAAACCAACAAATTTTGTAATAAAATTTGATATACAGTGGTCAATGGATTTGTTGAAATTTAGTCAGTTACTATCATATAATATAGAGATCGGTAAAGAAAAATTTTATTGTATAACACCTACCCATATTTCTATCCAAAAGCAGTAACGACGTGTTTCATTTATTTCGGGCAAAAAAATTAATAACTGCCTTGTTTTTTCTATAAAAAAAAATAGATGTTTAAAGTCGGACTTTACTAATTAAGGGTGAATTCAAAGCGAAACTTGCTAGAAATTTATCATATATACAAGTTGTCCCATGTCGGAAGAATCAGATCATGCATATGTAATTCGTGGTCACTTATTAAATTTTGAAATACAAAATTAAATACATATATATGAACCTATATTTTATCAGACAGAACATTTAGTCTCTACGATAATGTTTGTTATAATACCTTATTATTCACATATATGTGTATATATATATATATATATAGTTTCTCATGTACTCACTTTGTATATATCCACGTTGTTGTCATGGACTAACCAGAATGATGCACACATGACATACGCTTAAATTATTTTCCTCTTGCAAAAAAAAAAAAAGGAATTTGTAGAAAAACCTTAGCAATTTCTTCAGTGAAAACTTTTCAATGTGGTTAGAAATCTAATCCCCACTTTAAACCATATATAGATCCAAATTTATCTTTAATAATGGTGTTGGAATATACCAAAATCTCCGAAATTATGTTTCTAATTTCAATGTTTTACAAATGAATAAATATCAGAATCATTACGAAACTTCCTCGAAATTAATTATGTTTAGATACGATATCAACCATTGGAAGATTTTATTTTTTAATATATCAAATTAAATAGCCATTTTATATCCTCGTTAAAGATTGTCCCGATGACGGACCCCCACATATGTTACCCTAAATGTTTCCTCCCTATTCCTATTACGTTAGCTTGTTTAATTACCACGGAATTCATAGAATAGGTTGTCATATATGTAACACGTGACGTACGTAGATATGTCTATATGTGTACATTGTGCATGCATGCATGCATGTATGTATCGATTACGTGCACACATTGATACGTACATGCGTAATTACATAAACGTCATTGTCATTTGCAGATAGCTTTTGTTTTTGTTTTTAGATTAATTTTTTTTCCTTCGTTTTTGTTCCTTGGTTTCATTCTCAGAAACCTGTGAGCATGTGTTTATAGATGTGGACACATTTGATGAGGGCTCGAACACACGCAAATGAATACTATTTAGAGGGGCAAATCGATATATATATGGTTTGGTTTGATAGTATTAATATATATATATATTTAAAGTGTGGCAATATTTTACATAATAATTTGATTTGTTAAAAATTTATATAAAAAAGCATTTTGTTTATTTCGTTTGAATCAAAATATAAGAGAGAATTCTTTTCAATTCTGTTTTGAAAATTTTCTAAATTCGATATGACGTGAAATTGTCTTTTGTGCTATATAAACGAATATATATATTGTACCATATATATGTGTGTGTGTGTGTGTGTATATGTCATTATTGTCATGCAGCTTACCTAACCACTATTGAGACTTCATTCCCATGTTTCATATATAAGAGGCACCACTCACAAACTTTTCGTGAGCTTTCATTTCAAAGCTAACATAAAAATATTTTTTTGGTAGCACAATTATATTTCATATATAAGATGCTGACTCATTAATTCCAATTATATCAACTATATATATATGTTGAATAAATTTGGATTCTTTTTACTTAAGAATGCTAGATTTTACATTAAAGAAAAGATATAATTGTTCAGAGTTATCATAATAATAATAATAATTAATAATCACTCATGTGCTCAATAGTATGCTTTGTTCAAATTTTTTCTATTTCTACATCGATATATACGTATATTAATTTTCGTATCTAACTTTAAAATCTCCAGTTCAGATATTAAAAGATTCTTCACTTAAATTGTATATGTACTATGATTCATAACTGCATATATATATATATATATATATATATGTATATATAAGAATCCACGTTCTTACAAAAAATAAAAAATATTATAGAAAAATCGCATCATAAAATATGCACAGTTGTACATATATATATCTATATGCATAAAGTGTGGATATTTGTAAGAGTCCTGCACCTACACACACAAATGTACATATGCGTATATATCTATATACGATGTCCATATGTATAACCTTAGTGTTGTATCAACAAACTCTCCAAGCCCTCTCTACTCTCTCTATATAAGGATACGAGTTAATCTCTTTTTCTCTTACACTAATTAAAATAACATTAGAAAAGGTGATTGAAATACCATATTCACCCCTCCCTCCTTCTTTTCACCTTGTCCATCACCATCACCATCACCATCATCATCATCATCATCATCATCATCATCATCATCACCACCATCCCTCATAAAGAGAAAGGTCCAGATGAATCCTGCGGAATTATATATATATATATATAAACATTCAAGAATCAGCAATATTTTATCTAGCATTATCTATTTTTTTCCTTCGGATACTTTCTTTTTTATTGCAATAGGAATTATGCTTTTAAATATTTTATTTTTCCATGTATAATTTCAGGAAACGTTATCTCCTTCTGTTTGTTCTTGTCACCAACGTAAGTTTATCATTTTTTTTTTCTGTGAAATGTGAATTCGATACTAAATATTTGTCTCGAATTAAGGTGATATATAATTATATAGTATAGCAGTAAAAATTATTTACACGTGATATAATTAATAAATAACAAATGGCAAAAAAAAAAAAAAAAAAACAGGCCGACGTTTATTGGGATAGTGAAGAAGAGGTCAGTGGAGGAGTACTCGGCCGTGCCCTACTTGGCAACCCTGATGAATTGCTTGGTTTGGATCATCTACGGGCTGCCTACGGTGCACCCTGACAGCACATTGGTCATCACAATCAACGCTGCAGGAGCCGCGATTGAGATCGCCTTCCTCGTCATCTTCTTCCTCTTCTGCAGCCGCAAACAGCGTCTGGTCGTAACCGCGGTTGTGGCCGCCGAGGCAGCGTTTGCGGTCACACTCGCCGCTCTCGTCATGACTTTGCTCCATACTGTCGAAAAGCGGACGTTGGCCGTTGGGATCGTATGTTGTGTCTTCAATGTCATGATGTACGCTTCTCCTTTGGCCGTTATGGTACGTTGCAAATTCATTATAGATTGTAATTATTATCCATATATCTTGTATATCATCTTACATAATATTATGGTTTGGATAAAAATTGAATATAATTAAGACTTTACATTGCGGTTTAATTTCCAAACATGGTATTAGAGTGGTTAACTAATGTAACGTTATCGGTGTTGTCGGTATTATCAATTATATATTATTTGTTTATTTATTTATCTAATATATGGAAACAATGCAGAAAACGGTGATAAAAACAAAGAGCGTGGAGTACATGCCGTTTCTCCTATCCTTTGCTGCGTTTGCAAACGCGATTGCGTGGACCGTTTACTCTTTTATGCCTTTTGACCCTTTCATGGCGGTAAGTTACTAAATCCTAAAAAAAGACCGTAATTTTTGTTTGGATTCGAATTGGAATTTGTAAAATCAAAATCTATAGATAGGAGATTGGATTTTAAATTCTAATATCTAGAAAATTCATTTAGATATCTAAATTATAAATGTTAGCATATCCATCTATATATCAAATCAATAATATTTAAATGGGCATTTATTTACGTATGGAATTTAGATACCAAATGGGATCGGGGGTCTTTTTGGGTTGGCCCAATTGGTTCTGTACGGAGCATACTACAAATCCACCAAGAGGATAATGGCGGAGAGGCGACGACAATCTGGAAACGGCGAAGTGGGATTATCCGCTGTGTTCACTCACACCGATTCGGAGAAGATTTCCACCGCGAGATTCTGAATCTCTCGTCCCTTATCCACCGTCCGATTACCGGTGGTGTTTCTGTAATTAAATTCTGATGTGGAGTTCTATATAAATAGTTATATTTATAACTTCTAAATAAATAGATAGATGCACATACATACATATATTATATAGACATACATATATACATACACATACATGTATACATACATATATACAGACATACATGTATGTGTATGTGTATGTGTATGGATCAAACCGACAAGGTTTACAAAAATAAATATAGGCAAGACTTTACTAACTAACTATAATTGCTAAGATTACAGCATGTTACCAAAAAATACAAATCACAAACAACACTAACCATAAAGACAAAATCCAGCTCCCCCCCCTTACAAAGAGCACAGAGGGAAGAAGGGGACAGTGAAAGAACAAAAGTTAGGGAGGGGGGGGGGTAGTTTACAGTTGGTAGTTATTTGTATCATTCTCTCACATACAAAACAAAAGATTTATAACCTGTTGAAAAACCCTAAACCTAAGGAGCTTCCAAATCTTTTCTTCAGCCCCAAGAAAACAAAAAAAAACCCCTACATATTCTTTCAACAGATAGATATCTACAAGAGACATAACCAGTTCTGGTCACAATTCTCCGGTGCTCTCACAGGAGCTGCCGAGATTCATCGTCACGTCGTGAACCAGGAGCCGTACGTTATTGCTACCGGAGGATCTCGAGACATCGAGACATTCTTGAAGATCAGCGTCGCAAGCGATCAAAACCCATTCGTTATCATCGTCTAGGTACTTTATATCGAACGTACCCGCGTCCTGTTTCAGCCTTTTCGTGACTTCCTCCTTCAGCTCCATTAATCCCGAGCTCGACGATATTCTGAACCGTATGATGTCTTCTTTGTAAATTGCTTTGATGGTTACACTTCTCATATCTGATCGTGACGGTACACGAGCGATTCCCATTCCCTCTTCTTTCGGAGGATGGCAGATGATGTTGCCATTGTTTAGCCAGTTTGATTCTTGAAGCTTCTCCTCCGCCGCTGCAGAAGGGCAGAGGTTTCTCAGATCTTTGAAACTTCCGGCATCTTCGATCGGAATTCCCCGGAAAGGCATAGAAAAAGATGCTGCAGATACATCGAGATCTCTCAAACACTGTTGAAATGGTAGCCCGGGTGATGAACCGACGGTGAAAATTGGTTCTTGATTCAGGGATTTCGTGTCATCACGGGGGCTACATCCGCAAGATCCGTGAGAGGTCGGGGTCCCGACGCTCTCATCCCTGGTCCGTGACCGTTTGCAGCCGTTGATAGGTAATTCCGGGGAACCGTGTGGCTCGTGAGGACTGTGACCAATCGAGCCGTTGTTCTTTGATAGCTCAGGCTCTTTGTCGTCACCGCTGTGTGAGTTGAGCGGCTGGGCCGTGGTCTGGCCATTTGTCCAAGGTATGGAACCGACGGCCATGGAAGTAAGGTCGAGGGATCCATCCGTGCCTTGAACAGATTCGATGACGCGTTTCAACTTCGTGATCGAACGATTCACCTTCTTGATCTTCCGAGATGGCCACCGTGAGATTCCATGTTGCCTGCAGATTCGCTTCATTGTCGTCGGGCAAACTGGAAAAACGTCGACAAAGTTATGATCTTTAACGAACATTGATAACAAAAATGATTAGTTCCGACATATCTAACAGTTTAAGTTCGGGAAAGATACACAGACATACCTCCGAGGCTCTTGGCAGCGTCTTTGAGACTACCAGTGAAATACTGCTGAAGAACATCTAGACTGATTGTTTTTTCTGTTTTCCCACGTTTTCTCTCTGGTTTTTTCTTGCCATTATCACCGGCCATGTTACCCATCTCTTTCGCTGGCTCGGAAGAAGGAACCACCGGCTGAGGATTCAACCGCATCTCCCCGACATTTGATGCAAAACCAGAGGATACTCGAATACGTTCAATTCTCGAATTGATCTTCTTATCTGGTAACGCTTTGATGAATTCAACAGACACTTCATCAGCTTCTTCACCGAAAGAAATCCCAGAAGCAACCCTCAGGTTTTGAAAATACAGTTTCATAGTCGCCAACAGAGAACCCAAAAGGGAATCTTGCTTGGTTTCGTCTGTAATGGATGGAGGAAGGAAGAACTCGAGAATGTAATCGTCATCGCCCGTGTGAGAGCTCTGCAGACAAATGGCAAAACAACTGGTTAACTTGAACATGAGCGCATAGTGGACCAGTGGGTACTGGGTCTTGCAGAACTTGGTGACATCTCGGCAAAAACACGAGCTACGGTTCAGGAAGGCACGTCCTGCAACACCCTGGCCTTTCTGGAGGTGGTGTTCAAGGCAGGCGTCTCTGAATCCCCAGACGTGAGCATCCACAACGTAGCAGGCCACGTCAGTTGTGGACATGCAGACTTGGCCCATGCAGCTGCCGTCGAAGCTGGTGCATGATTTCTTTAGACCGCCACCGTTGGCAAGAACACTCCGGTGCTGGCATGGAACCCAGGTTTGAGCCAGAGGAAGCTTGTAGGTCTCGCATACAACTGTCAGTATCTCCAGAATCTCAGCCAGTGCGTTTTGACGGCCCTCGTTACATATCTGTCCGTTAAAAGAATCAACCGAAACAACGGTTTGAGAACTCGCGTGTTTAAAAGGGTATTCGATGAGACAACGCATGGCAGTTGTAGCTAACCTGAGTGGTTTGGTGGTCAAGTATTTCAGAGCTTTTCAGATTCACCGCCTGCCAAAGTTATTAAACCTATCATTATTATTAATATTACCGAGGAATCAATAAGGAAACAAAGCGCTTAAATGAGGGCATGGAATTGCTTTTCAAGAGGTACACTTGTGAATTTCAGACATAGACATGTTTCTGATTCAGCTAAAGACAAACACTGAAGCAAGAGTAATGGAAGTGAGGGAAGAAAATCGAACCTCGAGGGCTTTGCAAACTCTGTCCACTTCAGGGGCATAGTGTATCTTCTCGGAGGTCATGATAAGCTCCACAACACCAATGCAGGATTGACCAGAGGGATTAAAGACGGGCAAGGCCAGGGTACCGCGCACGTTATAGTGCAAGGCATGATCAAGACGCGAGAATTCTCTGCTGGAATAGTACTGAACATTTGGGGTCCATTCGGGCAATTTCTGGCGATAAACGCGACCAGGGAGTCCAAGCTCTATGTCGCTTTCACTATCCACAGAAAACATATATGTGAGAGAGATCATCCTGTATTGGTTAAGCCCATTACCGTTAGGATTAAGAACAAAGGGTTGACCCAAAGTCGTCAGAAGTTCACGACCGTTCTTTATCACGGGAGCCCAGACCTGAGCCAGGACGTGCTGCTCCGTTGATTCTTTGAAGTAGCGAAGCGCCTGGGTCATCCTCTCTTTGATGACACAGTAGTTGTCTGTGTTCTCTGGAGGGACCAGACCCATTAATGGAGAAGGAAACGGGACGCTGTTACCGTTTTCTGCTGTATTCTCAGCCATGGACGAAGCAGCACCTGCGAATATTAGAGATTTTTCAGTTTCAGATTCTAGAGTTTAAGAATCCAACTAAAGAGGTTGAAATTGAGAGATGAACTGGTGATATGACACTGCTCCCGACAAGACACGAGTTGAACACAACGAAAGAGCAATTCAAAACACCTAAGTTGATTACGGGAAGCTAAGACGAGAATAATTTTCAAGATAATCTAAGGCAAAAGAGCAAGAACACGAATTTTGACAGAAACCACCTGAACAGAGGTGGAAACAGAGTCAAACCCAGAAGACATCAAATCATGAGCAGAACTAAATTCGAATTTGTAGGAATATCTTCGCGAGAAGGAAATTCCAAAATTAACAAACAATCGGAGGACGCAACGAGAACCCATGTATCAGAAGGAGATTTATGCACTGACTGCTGAAGACTCATGCACAATAACGGAAAAAGGTAAAAAGCTTGGAGTTCGCCGAGACTAACAAGGAAGAAAGATAGGATAATCGGCGAGACGGAAAGGAGGAACACCGGAGGCGGGGCTGAGCTTCTCGTCGGGAACGGCGGCGGTTCCTCCGCCGTCGGAGAACGCCCATAGAGGCGAACAAGGCAGCTCGGAGGAAGAGGAGACGACGAGAGGAGAAAAGAAGTGGTTCGACGAGGAGAGGTAGGGGATCTGATCCAACCGCCAGGAGCCGTCGAGATCCAGATCATCCAAATCCATCAGCAGCTCCCGAAGCCTCGTCGGCGGAGGAATGGCGCCATTTCTGGTGCAGTCTTCATCAGGCTCGCACATTTTTCCGGGACCTTCAGGGAAAGATATCGCCTGCAAGAGAATTCTCGTCGTTGATATTTCGTTTTGGATAGAGGAGGAGGAGGAGAAAGGTCAAAATAATGGTGAGGGTGTGAGTGATTCCATAATAATAATATCACACAATCAAACAAAAATTAAAATTCAATTAAACAAAAAAAAAATATTTCGGATAAATATTATATGGAGAATCGGTTCTCTGCTTCACACTACAACTGTTCCCCGTGGTATTAAATTAAATATAAAATATTCCTCTATTAATATATTCAATTTAATTATCTAGTTTTTTTTTTATAATCGTATATTTTTCTTTAATGCATTCATTACACAACCGACAGGTGCAGCTCTAAGTAGTTACTAAATTGTTTTATTCCTTGTTTTATACATAAGCGTACATACCATACATTTAATTTTCTCATGGATATCTTTTTTTAGAAACATTAATGATGCAGCGATAAATATCTCACATTGGTTATCTAGTTTTGTTTTTATTAATATATTTATTTATTTGAAAAAATACATTCGATTATGAATAATAATAATAATAATAATTAATTAATGATTAATTATGTAAGTGGTGAATCTGGCTTTGTCCACTTTGACGGCTGTAATTTGACGACACGTGGAAAACATATAATGGGATTGCACCAATCAAAATTTACCTTGTCTTTGTTCCTTATAATTTAAAAGTTTGTGCATGTATGTGTATATATTGACTATATAATGGACACATTTATTGAAATAATATATATAACATTTAAATAAAAAAGATTATTACGTAATGCCTTTTCAGGGAAATATATCGCGGGGGAGTGTCGATTGTTTAGACAGAGAAAAATAAAAAGAAGACAAATTAGGAAAGGACCCGCTTTACTAATCAAATAAGTGCGATTCATCTGCAACGGAACATTTAAATATTAAAATGTTATTTAATTATGGTATTAAAAATTAAACTTGCGATGGATTTATTATTGCCACTTGTATTGGAAACTATATAGACCATGTGCTTATATTTTGTAGAGGATTTATCCTCTCGAAACCTCACCGATCTCTCCGAATCACTCGTGTGAGAAAGAAATGAAAGAACACAGTAGGATAACGAGTTCAGTATCGAGTTCTAACGCTCGATACCTACGTCTCGGGAAGAGGAATAGCGTTTGCTAGGGTTACAGAAAGAAAGTCGCCGGAGATCGACCGAAAAACCGATCCCGACACACGGAGAACGCAAGTTCGCCGAAAGAGAGATAGAGAGAAAACTCGAAAGCGAAAAATCACCGTCTGAGCAAAACACACAAACCCTAGGTCACATTTACTTGACCTCAAGATGACCATTTTGCCCCTCCACGTTTACCAAACCTTCTGACTCGAACCGAGGGTTCGAAAACCTCCACTTCGCTTCAAAGGTTTGCTGAAGACATAACAAATCTCCACCTTCTTCTGCCAAACCTGCAAAAGAACAAGAAAACACGGAGAACCGAGGAAAAACCAAGACACGCCAAACCCTAGCAGGCTCATTCCCGTAACTTCCATGTAACTCCTCCTCTGGACATGGTTCAAGGCGCATTGAACCTACCATTCTAAAGGAGTCCTTACCGAGCGTGTCATAAACACGTCTCAGCGTGACACGACGCACCTAACCTACCCAAGCGAGTGTCCCCCGACACCTCCGCTTCCGAAGTCTACCTTAGACCTAGACTAATATGACTCTCTAGACCATCTAAATGACCCCTTCCGGTGAAGTCTATACCTCACCAATGGCCCCCCGAGGGTCACGCCCCGACATCTACCCGTCTCCCGAGTCTACCCCGACTGCCCCGAGACTAAACTTGAGTCATATTAACACACCTAACTCTTGATCCCCGTAAAGATCAAGCGACCTATGACCTCTACCCCGGACCCCTACCTACCGACTAAGGTTCCCCACGGGTTTTACCCCGTGAAGACCCCCCTAGTCGACCTATAGGAACTCTACCGAAGGCTCGGAACACGTGCAAGTACGTGCTCCACCCCGAGAGGAAACGCCCCTAGCGCTACTACCCTCACCAACTCTACCCGGTGTCCGTGAAGACCCCCCTAGTCGACCTATAGGAACTCTACCGAAGGCTCGGAACACGTGCAAGTACGTGCTCCACCCCGAGAGGAAACGCCCCTAGCGCTACTACCCTCACCAACTCTACCCGGTGTCATGGCATTTCCTCGCTCGCCCCTTCCCCTGAGCTTCCTACCCGAGGTAACTCCACCTAGACGTGGAGACCTCACCTCCGAACCTCCACCCGAGGAGTAGTCGGAGCATACTAGAAGTACCTCCGAATCATACTCCTGAACCGAGGCTACTACCCCCTTACCCTCGGTCTCCTCCTTCACCCTCCGGGACCTACACTCCTTCTTATAGTGTCCCTTCTTGCCGCAATACCAACACTCCACCTGGTCTTTGGCCTTCTTCTTCCCGCCACCCGATTTCTCGGGTTTGCCCTTGACCACTAATCCTTCCCCCGTACCCCGAGTAAGGGTACCCTGAGCTAGAAGCTCTAGCTCCTTCATCCTAGTTGCGGCCTTCACCTCTTCCACCGAGATTGTAGCTCGGGAATATTTCAGGACTTTCCTCAGCTGCACATAAGCAGGAGGTAAGGACAGGAGGTAAGGAGTTCAGCAGATAAACTGCTTGATACTCCTCCTCTACCTTCACATTTAGGCTGTGAAGGTCGGACAATAGTTTCTGGAAAATATCTATATTCTCCTCTATTGTCCTAGAGCTGTCCATCCTAAACCCCGACACCCTCTGCATGAGGTACATCCTATTGGGGAGAGATTGCTCTATGTGCAACCGCTCTAGTTTCCTCCAGATTCCGAAGGCCGTCCTTTCGGATATGACCTTCCTTAGAACCTGATCCGCTAGAGCAAGCACTATGAGGTTCCTAGCCCTTCTACTCCTTTCTTGTCACTCTTTGAGAGCCGGAGTGTCCGATCCCTTAGCCCCGGGTCCTAGTGACCCGGTGGAAAGAGACGTAAGGCCTCCCGAATCTTCGGTTCCCGAGCTGGAGTTTGTGGGCTCCCCTCATCAGCAACCCCCATGTAGATGGATCATCCTCTAGTGTGTCCCCTAACCCTAAGATCTCTAAGCTAATGGACATCTTCTCCTTCCATAAGGAGAAGTCTCCCTTGCCGTCGAACTTCTCGACGTCAAGGCCGCGATACAGAGGGGCAACATCACTAATAGGAAACCTAATCTCTAACCCGAGGATGCACTAGACCTACCTAGAACGAAGCTAACCTGGGAATGACTAAACCGACCCTAGGAGCACCTAAAACCAGACCTAAGGAGTAAGACCGATCCTAAGAGGACCTAAACCTAGGTATTTTCCAACCTAACAGACCTAATAGACTCTAAACCTGTCTACCTAAGACCTGATTACGTCTAATCAGACCTACCCAAAGGCTAACACTGACCTAACCAACCTAGATAAGATCTAAACCGAGTTTATTCTGTCCCCCTAAGTCCTAATCAGACCTAAGCCAATCCAATATTGACTTATCTACCCATGATCAGACTTGAATTAACCTAATCAGATCTAAACTAAGTCTAAACCGACCTAATTAAATCTGATCAGACCTTATCTAGCCTAAAATCAACCCTAACAGACCTGTACCTATTGATTTCAAGCCTAATATCGACTTCTAACTCACCTAATTCAGCCAAATCCTTCTATTCAGGCCTAACCGGACAGAATTACCAGACTCTATGGACTGAAAAACAGGTAACCAAAGTCTACCGCAGATCTAATCTGTCTCTACCTAGGATAGATCGATCTATACAGATCCTAAATACCCTATACCAGACAGAATACCCTAAGAACCGGACTCTATCTAACCAATCGAACCCAATCAGACCTACCCCCAGCCAATTCTAGTCCTAATCAGACAATCCTGACCCTAAACCGACCAATCTAGACCTTTTCTAGTCAATACAGACTCTAAACAGACAAACCCAACCCTTTTTGGACAAATCAGACCCTAATCAGACCTAAACCGGCCCAATCCCAATCTAAATTGACCTAAACCGGACTCTATTGTCCTAAACCGGTCCTAGATTGACCTAAACCGGTCTGGGTTATCCCGAACCGGACCTAAATTGACTCGAACCGGTCTGAACCGGTCCAATTGACCCTAAAACCGGACCTGAATCGGTCCAATTGACCTGAACCGATCCGGTTTTCCTAACCCGGTCAACTGTTGACCAGAAATCTGGTCAACCTTTGACCTAACCCGATTAACCGGTTCGATTTTGAATCGAGCCCGGTCCAATTAGACAATTCTGATTTAACCGGCTAAACCGGATTAAACCAGAAACCCTAATTTTTGGAAGCGTAGCCGCCGAGTTAACCCGGTCAACACGGACGTTGACTCACCCGTTTCCCGACTTAGTCGCGACTCAGAACGAGTCACGGCCGAAAACCGCCGGAAAACACCGGTTCTTCACCGGTTTTCCCTCCCCAACCCTAGACCTAACCAAGCCGAGTAACAACTCACCTCTTCGGAACCCTAACTCGGCTGATTTACTCAGTCCGAGTCAGATCCGGGAGAACCTACCTCTTTCCTTCGCCGATCCGAGCTCCGTCGTGGGTGTCGACCGCCGATCTACAGCCAGAAGACTTCGCCTTCGCCGTTTCACAACTGAAACACTCACCAGACGCGTTAGAACGCTCAGATCCGAAACAGAACGTACCTCGGACTTACCTCAGGTGATTTTCACCACAGATCCGCCGAGCCTCGCCACGAACCAGGCTCCTGATACCACTTGTAGAGGATTTATCCTCTCGAAACCTCACTGATCTCTCCGAATCACTCGTGTGAGAAAGAAACGAAAGAACACAGCATGATAACGAGTTCAGTATCGAGCTCTAACGCTCGATACTACGTCTCGGGAAGAGGAACAACGTTTGCTAGGGTTACAGAAAGAAAGCCGCCGGAGATCGACCGGAAAACCGATCCCGACACACGGAGAACGCAAGTTCGCCGAAAGAGAGATAGAGAGAAAACTCGAAAGCGAAAAACCACCGTCTGAGCAAAACACACAAACCCTAGGTCACATTTACTTGACCTCAAGATGACCATTTTGCCCCTCTGCGTTTACCAAACCTTTTGACTCGAACCGAGGGTTCGAAAACCTCCACTTCGCTTCAAAGGTTTGCTGAAGACATAACAAATTTGTTTCTCTCTTTCTCATGCTTGTTAATTCAGTCCCATATTGGCAAATTTGGCATAAACATTTCACATTCCAATCAAAAGAAACAAAACATAAATATTGTCGTCTTTATCTTACATAAAAAAAAGATAAGATTTTATCCAAAATTTTAAAATTCAATACATATGATAATATACTCGGTATATTATGTGCTTCCACAACCACTAGATCATTCTGTTGGCAGTTTTTTTTTTATCGTTGTTTGAAATTAAGAACTAAAAGAGTAAAACTTAATATGTTCAATCACAAGGTAGGCACAAACTTTTTACCCAACAGCTTGTGGGTGAGTGGTTAGCAGTTGGGTGCAAAGCACTCAGAGGTTGGCGGTTCGATTTCTGGTTGGGGAGGGGTTTTCACATGGGTTGCCCCGATCCTTTGGGAGATGTAGTTGGGCCAAAGGTCCGGTGAACTTTCGGATTATCAAAAAAAAAAAAAGTAAAACTTATACTTATGGGTCCAAAAATGTATTAAGCCTCCACGAAATAAAATAACACTGATTAATAGAATCCAAAAGGATCGAGCAGTATCTTATACAAAACGATTCAACCACAAAATGATTAACATTTTATAGGGACGCACTAACCATACTTTATTGATATAATCAAATAATAACTCGCGTATTGCCCACCTTATATTTATTTAATCGATAGCAATATTATAAAAGCCATTTGCCATTACAGTTGGTATTAAATTTTACAACAATGACCAAAAGAGCATTTTTTTAGCTTTGTTTTTCCAACCCGTTTGTCGGCATGTAACGATTTTACGTCTCTGTTATCTATATATATATATAGGTTGTATAAAATTACTATATTAATCGGTAGCCATAGTATATAAATATATGTAATATGGTGCAAAAAAATACAAGATTAAATAGATAGAAATAAAAAACAATATAGAGTTGGGGGCGGGCGTTAATTTAAAATACAAAAACAGCTAGGAAAATTAACATTAGATGAAAACATCATCGTCACTTAAAATGGTCGGTTATAAAATAACAAGATTCGTTGGAAAATTACTTTTATTCAGTGCTTTGCGACGTCAAAAACCAATATTACTTTTAGTTAAATCATATACTATATATATATATATAATATAAGTAGTCGTATAATAATATAACAATAATTGCGGAGGTACACTTGGTGTTCAATGCCAACATAGCAAGAGACAGAGCACACATTAATTATGTCACACAAGAGGGGACTTGTTAAATGGTGTAATTAAATTGGCTGCATACCGCTGCTGAGCATATCGACATAATATATAATCCGTATCAGAGTCGACGATATTTTGAATATTTATTAAAGGAAAAAAAAGACTAAGTAAACATAGAATAAAAATGACTAGGATATAGAATGTCAACCAACTGTGTCGATTTCCAAGACATCGGGGTCAACTTCTAGAGGCAGCGAATTACGTGAAGAAAACTTGGTTACTAATTAAAAAAAGAAGAAGAAGAAGAAATAGGGTGGTTCATATTTCCGGGTTTTTAATTCGATTATTTTATGAAAATAATATTTATTCTGACTGCTGTATGTTTGGATTTTGATGTTATTTTTGTTTTTTTTATTACAGAAGTTGAGGGGAGAGCGAGTCTAGTTCACCTCCTCCTCCTCCCCTAATTGTTTTTTCTTCTTCTGTCCATTCCTTTTGTTAATAGTATTTGATATCTGTTTCTATTATATATTTACTTGCTTACCCACTCATGCTCACTTCTTCCTCCCTCAAAGTTTTACACACACACATATATATATATATATATATATATATATGTATGTATGTCCGAGTATGGATATTGGCATTTCACTCGCGTACTTTCCATAACACACACACACACATGCCACATTACATATCCAAACAACATATATCTGTATAGACATATATCGGTATAGATATATGTGTGTTTCATGTGGTGGAGGGAATGTGAGTCGTAGAGTCATCAACTTCAGAGGAGAACAATTGGAGACAGTCTCTTCACATCGTCCTTTGAGCATATGAATATCCTCTTCACCATGCTGCAGAACTCACTGCGTTTGCAACGGTCAGTTGAGACGTAAAAAAAGAAGAAGAGAGAAGAGAGTGATGAAGTACTTACGGCCATGGATCATCGCCAACGAGCATCATGTCTCCTTCATCATCCATGTATACTATCTCCCACTCATCCCTCAGCCCACCTCCTCTTATGTCAAACAGTCTCTCCAGCTCCTCTATCAGCTCATCGTACCCTTCCATTGCGCTTAACTCCACCCCCCTTCCTACCCCTACTCCTTGCATCTTCACCTGTTATTATTCCCCCCTATCAGTCTAAGGATCATGCCTAAGTGTTCCAAAAAATAAAACAGAGGTTCATTCCTATACCTTGGTACGGCTCCTGTTTTGCTTGCTTTGTACTTCTTTCAGCCACACCACCTCCTGCATTCGTTCTTGTCGATTATTCTTCTCTTCAGAAACTTTGGAAACCTCAGACTTGTGGTCTGACTCGGCTTCAACGGTTGGGTGGATTGGAAGCACATGTGTTGTTTTTTCCACCGCAGGAGTCGCTGGAGTGGAGTTACTCACCAGATCAATTCCGAACAATCTGACAGCCTCAGGTCTCTTCTCCTCTCCTGAGAAAACCATTCGGTCGTCGGTCAGTATTTCTCTGGGTGGGACAGGGTAACAACAGTTCATAAGCCACTCATAAGCATTCTTGGTTGTATCCAGGTAACAATGCTCGGAAGGACTCGTCTGGTAGGTGATGCACGATTGGTTAAGCTCGTGGGAGTGCGTCAATGTGGAATTCCAGAGGTTTGATGTTGCTGAGCCTAAATCTACAACTCAAGCATTAACATGTCAGATATGGTCGGTTTATTAGTGAATGGAAAAAAACATATGTTTGGAACTCACCGAAACCAGATACTTCACTAACTTGCCAGGGCCGTTTGTTATTCAGGGTTACTGATTGAGCGGCGTTTCCTGAAGAAGGCACAAAAGACTTGATCTCCCATGGAGAAACCCTATCAGGTCTGGAAATTAATGCAGGCTCATCCCATTGAACCTAAATAAAATGAAGCAGGCTAGCTGGCTGATGATATTTTTACACTCAGAAACGTATTTAAAGGTGATAAAATTAAAAAATGGGAGAGAATTTTACTTCTAGGCATCTCCATTTCGAGTCTATCCAATGAGGGGAGCAGTCATTAACGGTGACAACTGTGCCAGAATAACTTTGTAAAGGAACACATTTTAGAAAATGGCTTTTAAAACAAAAGATTCACAGGGTAAACACCAGCTAAGAGGGTTAATTATAAACCACCTTCTTAGTAAGGAATCCTCCCCCTCAAACCGCATCTTAAACCTCATCCCAACAGAAAACTTGTTGTTAATGGCTTCTAGATATTTGTTCAAGCTGATAATGAACTGACTAGTCCTGAGGAAACGGAGGGTAAGATAAAAGCCGATTTGTAGAAGAAACTCAGATGTCGATCTTGATAGCGGTTAAGAGAATATACCTTGGCTTATAGAACACAGTGAACATGGTTTGGGTATGGATGGCATGGCTTGCAGTTGCAAGCACTCCCAAATGCATGCTCTGACCCGATATCATAGAAGAAGGCATGCTTTGTTGCCGAACAGCATGGCTTACCCCAACACGTAACTTCCCATTTTCCTCTCTGAACAAAAAAATTTAGGAAAAGGTTAAGCCCAGAAAAAAATCCTACAAGAAGCCATGTATGTCGTAATCAAAAGAAGCAAAGCTAGGTAACAGAGGAAATATACCTCAGGCATACGAAGGTATCCCCAGCAACTAATTTTTTCGATGTGACAAAGGTGCTCCACCCTGAAGTCAAAAGGTGCCTCCGTGGTTGACCTGTTTCATTGTCCATGGGAAATATATACGACCACCAATCATAAAGTGTAGCATGTTGTAGATATGCCTCAGTGAAATGCCAGAAGTACGTTTCGTTTCATTTTTTAAAGTGATTCAAGACATTAAAAATACAAAGTTTGAACTAAATTTGTAAGAAATTGATTCACTACCTCTGAAAACATGCTTAAATTTCCATTCACAACCATGGAGATCCCGGGCAACCAATTCTTGGGTTGGGTTTGGCTGGCTCATATCCTATATGGAAAACACACACGAAAGTCATATGGAAGTTTTGAGATCCATGTTGAACATAGGGCTGCCTAACAAAAACCAGGCACAAAACGGTGAAGCAGCCCCAGTACCAGCGGGGGAAGGCACTTCTTCGCATGCCTTCTGAGAACAGAAAAACCGCCATGTGTGCTGGTGTCAGACGCCGTTAAAACCTTGCTGAAAGAGTGGACGGTCGGCCTTTGCGGTGCAGGAACACATGGATCAGGACACGTAGGCTTATCCACTTGCTAGATACACAAATCCAGAAAACACTTTGAGACAACATGTTGGAAACAAGAAACTTGCTAATACTTAGAAAACTAAATCGTCACTTACAGTTCCTGTTGGTAGCAGAGTAATCTGGGAATAAACCTCATCCGTGTCTTTCTCCACCTACCATTAACACAAACAACCAGAGTGTGTTTCTATTAACGGACAGCGCGGAATTTGGTCTGTAACAAAGTAAAATCTACGGAAACCTTCAACATAACCGCTAAGTTTTGTTTGTCTATGCTTTCTAGCTACTGCATTATCTCTATTGCCACAACCAGTGGTGAATTCGTAGAACAAGAACATAGCGCGTCTTAGAGGCTCCAACTTCACTTAGAGTATTTACATCAGTCTTCGCAATATACAGAAACCAGGAAAATGGTGAAGAGGAATAAGAAGAAATTAACATCAGAAGACATACTTGAAGAATCACGTTGATAACACGACAGAGAATCTTCGCAGGAAGATCGAAAAGCGGCTTCATCTGATTTAAGTCCTGATTTGTTGACGCCTCAAGCTGAGATGCCACCAAAAATAGGAATAGTTCAGCCAACTTTTTTTTTTTGGTATAATGTTCAGTTACCAGGGGAAAAAATATTCAGTTTTCCCGAGAAACAAACAGAAGAGGGGAAAACGCCAATCTGAAATAGAAAAGAACCGAGAACTCACTTGTTCCATGTGCCCTTGAGGAAAGTAGTATACAAAATCATCACGTCGAGGAACGTCAACTAGAGGTCCCGCGCACAACTTCCATAACACCTCGTGTAAATATCCTCCACCGCAGTCATCTGTTTGGCCAAAAACTGAGAAATTTTCCCGGAAAATGGAGGAACAGCGAGAAATTTACTCGATTTCTCACCTCCACCTAGATGAATATCAGAGTGAAGAAATGCACCTCCGCGATTCTCCATCAGCTCGAGCTCCCCCAAGCAACGAAGTCAAAGCCAGCGAAAATCCTGAATGAGAAGCTGGTGAATTAAACTCTCTCACAAATCACCGAAAGAGGTTTGAGTCACTCCAATTTAAGAGCCCTACCCGCGATTTAATTGCAGAAGCCACGAGTCTCGGATTCCCACCTCCACGTTTCTCTCTCCCCTCTTCTGCATGTAACGATCGTCAGATCCGAACCGTAACGGAAGAGACCGCCACCGATATACTCCCTTCCGCGGCCGTTACAAAACCGCCCTTTCTCTCTCTCTCTCTCTCTCTCTCCTCCCTATTGAAGATTATTAAACGACCAAATACATTCAAATGAATGGAGCAATCAAGCACTAATTAAAATTAAAATCTATCCCAAATATTGACAGGTTTCTATACGATGCATAAAAATATATTTTGAATTTAGTTATTTCCTTTACATATCCGTTTATCATTTTGGTATTTTAAATTTTTTCCATTTGTTGGCACCTTTTTGCATAGATTATAAAAAATTTACACTCCCGTAACCGTGAAACCACTTCTCTCTCCTCCAAAACCACTCTCTCTCCCTATGAGAAGGCACCGCCGTAACAGAAAGAATCTCACTGCCTAACAAACCGCTTTTCGCGCGTCTTATATTACGTGGCACCCTCCCTCGCTTTTAACTCTGATTCCCCTGCCTAAACATTATTACTGTTATTATTATTATTATATGTTAACGGCTTTAACGTCAATAATTGAGCGGATGATTGTTTGAATGTGTATGTATAAGAAGAGTCATAGAGAATAATAATCGAGGCTTATCTAGCTACGATGATAAATTTTGACAATCATAAATACACTGTCAATCACTATTTATTGTTTCTGTTAGAGGTTAAAATAACCAATTTGGTAAACAATACAATTCTAAAGAAAGTCAAAGGTACTTCAAATTGTCATAGATTTGAGAAATACTAACTCACAAAAACTGAACCATGAAAACGGGGAGAACAAGAAAAAACACTTCTTGGCGAAAAATAGATTCTACGGGTTCACAGGAATTACGGAGCGTACGGTTGCGGTTACAGAAGCCGTTACGAGACGTCAACGGCCGTCACCGTTGTCTACCTCCGGGTAAAGCGACAAGGTCGGCGGCTAGTAGAGTTAACCCGGCAGAATCTCTTGGGAGGTCCGATTGTGTTCTTAACCTCACTTTTTGCACTAAATTACATTTATGCCATTTATGACGGACCGACATCAAAAACATGGGAGTGATGGATCTTGTGATCATCTGGTACACGTCAGATTAGGGCATTTTCGACATTTGGTCTCGGTCAACCATCAAGTAAATATACATGTTCTTGGTAATGGTGCCTTTGTTAAAATGGACAGTCACTAACTATTATACTCTAATAACATGCAGTTTCGTTCTTCTCCTCTTTTTTTCTTTGAATGAAACCAAAAAGAGAGACAAGGGGGAAAGAGAAATCAGAATGATATAGTTCAAAAAATCAATGGACAACAACCTGTTGGTCGACGCCGTCAATGAGCATAACAGAGCAGTGATGGTGAACCATGAACCACCGCCCATTGTGGAACTCGAACACGTTGGTGACGTGAAAGGGTCCATCGTCCACATTCAAGTACGCCTTCATAGTCACCCATGCCACTTCTCTCAGGACCCGAGCACGTACCTCGTCTACCTGAAAATCGAACCCTTGTTCCCAGCTGAAACAAAGTTGCCAGCTTTGCATTACGGCATTGTACCTACGAATGAGGCAAACAGAGAAAAAACGATGGTCTCATGTTATGGCTCGGAATCCACTGATTCAAGACTAATGGAGCTCTTTTCATGGAACTTAACTGGGATAATCTAGTCTCGGGTACTTTCCATCACATAAAACATGGTGATCTTTCCTCGTCATTCGAATTCGATATATTTCCAGTATTTTGTCATTTGAATTCAGAAATATTTCCAGTAGTTTGTCTAAATTAAACTAGGTAGACAGCTATTCATACCACTAGGAAACTGCACAGCAGCATTGTGCCATGTATATCAGTCAAATTCCCAGTGTACAACATCAGAAGGATCACATTACACCTAACGCAGAAAATAAGGGCCGGTGATAATGGAAAGACGATACTAAGACATTCCTTAGACGTTAGAACCAAAAGGAAGTGAGAAGAGATGTGGAATTGGTACCCGGAAAAGAATTCGCCTGAGGCGTGGATGCACTTCACATAGTCTGAGTTCAACCAGCATCGTGCCATTGCTTGAAGAGACCTCTCTCTAATGATGTTGAAGAATTCTGTATTCACATTCATGATTGCTCTAGTAGCTGCGTAGTATGCCTTCCACCCGTTAACTGGGGTTATACTATCCTGCTCCAAGGTAAAATCCTAGTAGAAATTCAACAAAGAAAACATGTCAGACCAGCCTTCAAGGGAAGCATCCGCCGTAAAGACAGACAAAATCCACTTATTCAAGATCTCGAGAATCAAGAAAAGGCTTGACAAACATGATATTTTAGTTGTTAAAACATATGCATCTATTGTCCAAAAGGAACATTAGTGAAAACACAACTCAACCATCCCGTGCCCTGGATCCCGGACACAAAGCTAATCAGCAGATGTATCGGCACGACGTCACCAAATTGTTGCAAAGCGAACTCAATTCGAATCACACTGCCGACGCAACTGAATGCTCCCTCCTCTTGTGCTGCCAAAAACTTTTCTGGATACTCTTACATAACAATCACATTGCGCAAATCCAGGGGGTAAATAGATTCTTCTCAAGAAAGGGTTTAACTTTCCGATCATTCCGAAACCATTCTGAATTTCCCTTTTTCCATCACCAGCCAAACCGCAAAGATTTCGTTACTCGTAAGCTAAACATTCTAAAACTATTTCTTAAACTCAAACTTCAAAACAGAACTAAACCAAGAAGAACCAGAGACACTTGAAGACAGTTTCTCAAAGCCAGCAATCGAACAGAGCAAACAAAAAGTAGACTGGATACATAATGATTACTGAGTTCAATTACCTTGTGATAAAGAGCCTTCCAGGCATTATCGTCGTTTGCAGCCCTCCTCATCAATGAATTCGTCATGGATAACCTGCACAAGCTAGGATAATCCAAGTAGCTGAGCGCGTGGGTTGTAATCTCCGGCACCAACTGCTCCATCATCGACACCCCCGGCTTATCATCAGCGACCAACGTTCCGTTCGCCACCATGGAATCCGTAGCCTTCGCCGTCGTCTCCGCTCCTCCTCCGCCTCCCTCCGACGCGGAATCAGGGATGCCGTTCACTTCACCGTTCGCCAGCGGCGTCGTCAGTTTATCGAGCTTTCTGCTGCGAGGAAAGGATCGGAAGGCGAAGAGAGCGAGGAGCAGAGAGAGACCGGTGATAATTGCGGCTACGACGAATAAGAGAGGTTGATACTGCGGCGAGAGCGACAGGAAGCAAGAGGGAACAATTTCCATCGATGAGACATGAAATACATGAACAAGAACACTACAGGAGAATCTTCGAAGATGACGAAATTAGGGTTTTGTGGAGTAGTTGCTTCTTTCTGCCGAAACCCTAGAATTGGAAATGGAAAATCTTTGGCAGGACGAGGAAGAGAGAGAGAGAGAGAGATGGCAACTTCTCCAACTCCGTAACTGACCACGGCAATGTTAACCAGTTGGTCATTCAGGAAATAGCCTTTAATTTTGAGGGCATTTTAGGTAAATTATCCCTCTTCAAACGACATCGTTTTACAATCTGGCAAATTAATCTCGCAATTTCCTGCTTTTTGTCTGTTTTTCTTTATTTTAACTACTGAACCTTTTTGTTTTTTCCCTAAAAAAAAAATTAAACACCTTTTGTCTACTTTAACATCTAATATCGCTAACTCCTATTGTTTTTTAATTAATGAATTCATGCTTTAAACTCCATAAAAAGATTTTCGAATCCAGCTTAATGCAAAAATTTTAATAGTAAAAGTGTTAATTTCTTGTAAATACTCTAATAAATCTCTTGTAGACGTTAAAAATACTAACCACCACGAAAAAACACATTATTATTATTATTATTATTATTATTATTATTATTATTATTATTATTATTATTATTTTTGTAGATATAAATATATTAAGCAATAGACGTACACAAGTGATAGTGGTCTTTGTCTCAATTTAGCCATATTTCTTAATGTGATGTACTTTTCAATATATATTTTTCCTGTTAAAAAAAAAAGGACCGGCTTATATCATAGAGAATATATTATAAAATAAAAAAACAAAATACCAAAGGCAATATTTAAAAAAAAAAAAAAAAAAACAGACCTCAACCTTAACATCCTCCGAGTGAAAGTTCTGAGCCTTTTGAGTTCTGAACCTAAGACAGAAATCTATGGTTTTGTATGAAATATATAAATCCCGATAAATTACCTACCCTATGAATATAAAACAACACACACTCAAAAGAGAGAAACAATACCTTGGCCAGTGCATTGAGATCAAACCCGCCGGAATCTCGCCGGATCTGTTCGGACGGCGGACACATGGTTATGTCATTGGAACCACAACCAAAGCCGAGTCACCGATCATTGTCCAGTCAGGACATCGGCCTAGTGGTTATGGTAAGACGCAAGCCGGATTCATGTAGAAGCGTTGACGTCGGTCGAGTGGTTGAGGAGGACGAGGTCATCGGAATCCCGCCGGAGATAGCCCGGAACAAAGGGGAGACTCGCCGGATTCTGTTCTTGTAAGAGGGTCGTTAACGGTGTCTGAGGAGGATAATGGTTTAATATCATATCCATTTCTTCTCCACTGATCTCTTTCTGATTCACAAGCACCTGCAAGAACAGCAAAATTTTCTCCGGACATGTAAGAATTTGCAGAAAAATAGCGATTTATGGAATGATTTTCAAGGAAAATTCTTCACCTTTACAGTCTTGAGTAGGGCTGTGTGGTGTTGTCTGAGAAGAGAGACAGTCTTCTTGTACATGTCCCTTGTGAGTTCTTCGCATCTCTTTGTGATTTCGTCATCCATGTCGAAGTTAACCGGCGGCTCGACGAGGTCGTAATCGTCGTAGAGAGATCCTTCGAAGTCCAAGCGTGGTCCCACAAACTTCACCCTCTTTCTCCAAGGAGGCAGTTCGCCATGGATGACCATCGGGTTCTCGAGGTTCCATCTGAAAAGAGAGATTTTCAGATAGATAGAGAGAGACGAAAACGTTAGAAACTCGAAGAAGAATGTGAAAGAAAAAAAAAGCACGACTTTGTTTACAAACTCACATGGTTAAGATTTTACGGGCGAGCCAAGAGGCGTCAGAGAGATAATCAACCGATGCCTTTGATGTGTCGGGTCCGTAGATAACCTCTTCGGCAGCCCTCCCTCCGAGGAAAACCTGTATATATATGGAATCCATTGCATCCCGCCATAAATTTGTGAAAGAAAATGATTAAAAAAATTCTCGTCTTATGGTTACCTGAAGACGATGAAGCAACTGTGGACGCCGCTCAAACATATAGGCTTCATCATCGAGCCGATGGAACACAACTTGAGATAGTGTCTGCCATTTCAACAAAGAAAATTCGCTATATTATACCGAAACCGACGTAAAATCCAGATCATAATGGCATTGCAAGCTATAAAATCATCAAAATTATCAGCATAGTAGGTAACTGTGAAAAAATGGCTAAGCAATTCTTATTTTGGCCTTTGCCTTCGTCTTAGGTCTTTGATCAATGGTTCTTGAACCATCATATGCTTGCCAAAAGGGGTATAAAAAGTCACATACTTGACCACGAGGGATGATCGATATGCGATCACACCGCTCGACCTTTGCATTCTCATAGCGTCTCAATAGATGGGAAGTGATGGCCACTCCAACCTCGGTAGTGGCTCTACGACATTGACCCAGATGGCTCAATTCTATGCCGATTCGTCTCGGCCCAACAGTGAGTCGGTCAACAGCGTCGTCCATGTCAGATTGAAGAATTGAGCTATGCCTTTTCCTGACTGCCACGAGCGCAGCCTCTTGGACCAACTGTGCGAGTTTCGCTCCGGTCCATCCTATAAACGAAATGAAATCATTTTCATATATAAGCCAGAATCGGCATATGTAATAACATCTCGAGTTATTTCATACCTGGTAAGTTGTTTGCATAGGATGACAAGTCAACAGAATCCGACATCTTCACTTTGCTGGCGTGAATCTTCAGAATATCCAATCTTCCTTTCGCATTTGGAGGACGGATTCTTATCTACATAAAAGATCTTTACCGATCAACACATTTTTACCGATCTTGTAATAAAATTTCCTATTTTTTGATTTTCCAACAAGAAAGCATGAAATTTGGAATCATGTCTATTCATTATTAGTGCCCTTTTGGTTATGTTTGTTGCAAAAGAACATACCTTCCGATCAAATCGACCTGGTCGGAGAAGAGCAGGGTCTAACAAATCTCTCCGGTTGGTGGCTGCCAAGAAAATCACACCCTTGCCTGTGTCAAATCCATCGAGCTCTATGAGCAACTGGTTCAACGTGGTTTCTCTTTCTTGAGTAGCCGCATTGTACAAGTGGTCTGTAGTTTCCTTGAAAATTCCTTGACGCCTAAGGTTTCAAAAACATGAAAAAAGGGGGTAAAAACAAGATATGAACACTGTATCAAAGTTAAAATCGTACCCCGGAATACAAACTAAGCATATAAAAAAAATCCTCATAAAACAATCGGTACCTACCGAGTTGCCAATGCATCAATCTCATCGATGAAAATAACCGATGGCCTGTTTACCTGCAGAATAATATCTCATCAGTGTTCGTTTCTTGAACATCTACACGAATTAAATATTAGAAAAGTGAGTGAGTGATCCCAATGACCTTAGCTCTTTTGAACAGATCTCTGATACGAGCTGACCCGACCCCAACAAGAACCTCGACGAATTCAGATCCTGCCATTTGATAGAACGGAACACCAGCTTCACCCGCAATGGCTTTTGCCACTAGCGTCTGTAATAACCAATGATCAACTCTAAGGTTGAGGCTCAACTTCTATAGCCAGAGATTGGATTGCTAGTTCTCATATGTTCTCGAAGTGTATGTACAAGAGTAGTCAACAAATGTAAACTTTTACTGGTTATTTAAGATTTACATTTTCTCAAATCAAAGATTAACAGAACTATAAATACTTTCCAAAAATTCAAAACAAATTTTGGAAAGGTAAACAAGTACCTTGCCACAACCAGGGGGACCCTCCAAAAGAACTCCATGGGGCGGTTTTATTCCCATTTTATCAAACAGTTCCGGGTTCTTCAAGTACCTCACAAGCTATTGGGAAAAAATGATAAGGATAAGAGACTATCAAGGAAAGTAAGTCAGTCTTCAGATAACATTTGTTGGTGGGAATGGAAACAATTTAACACATGATGAAATAAAGAGAAGGAAAGAAGACATGGCACTTATATTTAAGGAGGAAAGACCTTCAGAAAAGAAGGGTGAGAGAAATGATTCAAGGAACAAGACCAAACATAAGAAAGAAACAGGACCCAAACACACTTATCGGACATACTCTTGCACAAGGAAGTTTCGGGAAACAGCATACCATGAGACAAACGAGTATAAATCTAGGTGAATAAAAGAGTAAAGATTTTTTTCCAGAGACAAGCAGTACCTCTTGAAGCTCCTCAACAGCTTCATCAATCCCTGCAACGTCATTGAACTGAACCCCAGTTGAACCCTGAAATGACAATCATTTGATATCAAGAACTCAATAAAAAAACAGTATTGCATTCAAGAAATATGCATCTAGCACCTTGAAACTACACACAAGATGGTCTTTTCATTCAAAAAATGTGTATGTTATCAGTAATAACGTTTAGAAACTTACATCAACACGAGCTTCTGCTTTGGACTGAGAAAAAGCTATCCCTTGCCATAAATCCTGCAAAAGATATAAAGTTGGCAATCAACAGCGGAAGCTATATTGCCAGAAAATCATGAGATATTATCAGGTAACAGGCATTTTTACCCATTTCCTAAAGTTCTTTGGTCTCCGTGACAACGTGAACCGAACAAGCAGAACCATTGTCAAAACAACAATGAGGATCGGTTTAAGCATCTCAATGCTTGAAGACAACCCACCGAAAGTATAGAAATCATAAAGCTTTGAAAAAATCCCGCCACTGCCAAAAGCATCAGCAAGGTAATCCCAGAATCTTTCAAGAACGCCAAGGAATATGCTGAAAAAGAGTTTGATGAATGGCTTTGCTATAGGCCAAACAACATAAACTGTAGTAGCAAAAACAAAACTAGTAACTGCAAATACTGCTGAGGCTAAGAACCCCCCAACAACAACTGCTGCTGCTGCAATAACGGCTGTTACCATTCCAAGCTCGACCATCACTCTACTTGATATGGAAGACGCAATCGGGTGAGGGAATTCAGGCACTTTTCCAACCCAAGACTGCAAAAAAAAGGGCATTTGAAAGCTGAGAAGTTAAGCGAATACCCAGACATGATAAACTCTGGCTGTAATTAGAATCTCCATTCACATAAACAGTCTCAAATCCCACCATTTCACACCAGTTTCCACTATTCCTACCAACTATATAACAAAGAAGAGTGCAGCATTATAATCTGATAAGTAATTTCCAAATGAAAAAAAGACTGATCACCGTCATGTGCTTTTCTATTTCATTCAGTGGACCGGCGTATTCCTCCAGAAGAGCTTGAGCTTCTCTTGAATCAAGCCTCATTGCCCTATCGACAAAACATAACCATATGAATCAGAACTTCCACTTGAAAACCGTTAAACAACTAATGTCTTCCTCATTCATGTCATCGAAATAATTCACCATTTCGTTCTCTGCAAACTCTTCTCTCCGGGAATTTCCTTAAGTTCCACGACAAAATCTCTATAGCCGCTCACGTATGAAAGACCAGAAGCTTCCTTCGATGTCAGCAGCTTAACTTTATCACTCTTCACGGCTTTGCTGAAATCTTCCGAACTCATCTTCGGCAAATCTCTCAGATTTTTCTCGAATTCTTCTTCCTCAGATAACTCTGGCCCAAAAACTTGCTCGGGCACGTAGAGTTTTCCTCTGTATTCCCTCAGGATATCCTTCAAATAAACAGACCCATTCCCAGTTTCGCTGCTCTTTTCACTTTCACCGGTCTCTTTCTCCATCGCGGTCTTCGAATCAAGCTTTCTTCTGACAAATTCAAACACACCCGCATTGGCGCCTTTGCTTAAATCCTCTCTCTCCTTCAGAGTGTACAACTTATCCCCGATTCGGTACCTCGGCTCCACTTGGCTAGGGTTTTCCTTCAAGACCCTAGTCACGAAATCATCACCCGCGACATTGTTCGCGTCACCGGACCGCGACAACCCAGATTTCAGTTCGCACAGAACTGTAAACGAACGACGCAGAAGCGGAGCTCTCGATCGAAATTTCCCATCCAAGTTCAACAAATATGCCGGTCTTCTGATCGATTTCGTGGAATTGGCAGTAGAGTTCCGAGGGAAACGTGTACTGAATGAGAAGACGGCGTCAAGAGAAGCCATTGCTGACAAGAAACATGTATGAAAGCTTCACCGAAGGGTAAATTTAAGCAGGAATTGCATCTTAAAAGTTCTTCCCTCGGCCTTATCCGAAGGCGAGACGAGCGATAGGGTTTTACCGGATTTGATTTTTTTTCCTTTCTCAGGATTCTAGTGATGAAGTGTTGTTGCGTGTTTGTTCATTGCGCCCCTTTTTATGAACCCAAAAAAAGGCACCTGTACCGGGCCGGTTTACCCCGACTCCGACCGACAGAATCCGTTAACCGATGTTTTGGTCTGGTTACCAAATAATACTAGCTGTCAATTTTAATCACTACGGAAAATAAAGGTGGAAAATATGTATACAGATACGTTTATTACGGTTTTTAAGATTGAAATTAATATGGTACACATACAAATACAAGACTACACAAAGAACGAAAGGCAAAAGAAACCACCATAAGATTTTCACCAAGACAAATCGTAAAGAAATTTATACATCAACAGAATAAAAGAAAGTAAAATAAAATTACAGAGAGCGAACCGGAAAAAGAACTGCATAGAGTAATACCAATCCAAACCGTGAATATATTAGACCGATCGATTTGAAAGGTGTTCCTAAATCTGACTGCTTATTATTATGCCTTTGTTTTCTGTTTAAATGTGTGTAGATAATACATGTTTAATAATAATAATAATAAATTACAGTAATGAAAAAAGGGGAGAGTTAATTGGTGGAGGCTGGAGATGAGTCGTAGCCGAGAGGGTTCTTGCTTGCCCAGTTCCATAAGTCCCGACACATCTCCTCGATCCCATACTTGGCCCTGCGGTTTTATTCAATCAAAACCACAACAAAACATATATATATATATATACACACACATTCGTATTTGACATATAACCTTCTTTCCTAGTTCATTGCTCAATTGATCTTGACCCTTAAAAAAAATGAACTTACTTCCAATTCAACTCGGCTTCTGCTCTTGCCGTTGAGGCGTAGACAACTTCAGCATCTCCTGGACGGCGTCCGGCGATCACGAGAGGGATTTTCTGATTGGAACCATAAAAAAAAACATTATCAAGAATTCTATCAGTACTTCAGTTGGGTTTGTTTGATTATGTCCAAAAATGACAACAAGGTTTTAACTTTTACCTTTCCTGATGCCTTCTCAAAAGTGGCCACCATTTCCAGGACGGATGTCCCCTTCCCCGTTCCCAGATTGTAAACCTCGCAACCTAAACCAAACGAAAAAAAAAAACCAGGATCGTGCCCTATTCCAAGAATTCTGGGATGGATGGATGGATGAAGATTGGAGTAGGAACAAAGGTCTCTCAGAATCATACCGATCTTGGGATCATCTAGCTTTCGCAGAGCAGCTATGTGTCCATCGGCTAAATCCACGACATGGATGTAATCCCGAACCTGAAAGGAGAGAGACCCTTACATGAATCCATAGGATTGATACCCAAGAACTGTTTTCTAAACCCTTAGCCATAGCCACTGTCTTGCAAGTGAGAGTTGGTTGAATTCCATTTCAGACAACTGGAGATATGTTTTAAGACAGATAAGACATTACCCCTGTTCCATCCTTTGTATTGTAGTCATTTCCAAAGACAGTGAGGTGAGGTCGCCTTCCAACAGCAACTTGCTGGACAAAAGGCATGAGATTGTTGGGAATTCCGCGAGGATCTTCACCTATGTAACCGCTAGGATGCGCCCCGACAGGATTGAAGTATCTAAGCAATATGATCTTCCACTCCGAGTCAGAACGGTATACATCACGGCAGATTTCCTCGATATAAAGCTAGAGAGACAACAGAAATCAACGGTCAGACTACAAGTCTCGGTAAGTTTTGTTTTTTTTTTTCACTTAAATTACCCAAAAGGAATTACCTTTGTCCGCCCATATGGGTTCAAAGCAGATATCGGGGATTCCTCAGTGCAAGGAACCTCCTTTGGCCAACCGTATACAGTAGCGGATGATGAAAAAACAAGCTGGAACAGAGTAAAAGTTCAAAAGAGAGACCAATCATGAGAAACAAGAAAGACAAAAGCTGAAAAAGAATATGAATAGAATAATGGGATTCAAGAGAGAGGGAACATGTGGAGAATATTTACATTTTTGCAGCCGTGTTTCGCCATGACTTCCAACAGAGTAATCGTTCCAACCAGGTTATTATTATAATACAACAAAGGCCTCTGCACACTCTCACCGACTGCCTTGAGTCCAGCAAAGTGTATCACCGCATCAAACCTATGATTGCACGTTCACCAAAAAAAATTGAAACCCAAATATGTGGAAACACTCTAAATCACATCTATATACACACATTTCAATTATATGAAACAATCCAAATTATAGGGACCCAATTCCAACATACTTTGTCTCTGAGAAAATCTTTTCAAGAGCAGGCCTGTCACGGAGATCCACCTGCAGGTGAAAACGATGCAAAGATTTTAAGCCTCTCAAACAAAGCAATGGAATTTTCTGCAACTGCAGGCTCATATAATCATTATCAGTATAAAACAAGATAAAATTCTGATTCACTCTGATAAAGAACATCCCCAGTTCGGACAGATCACCTAGTCAATATATAAATACTAATGGGAATTATATTATATATATCTTTCACATGGCAGTGATTTTTTAATTCCAAATTCTCCTTTGGCCGAGCTGCGATATGAGTACAAAGAACTGGTAATAATTAGTCACATGGAGTCCAGAAAATTAACCAGAACCTCAGGAATCAAACCATCTTCGAAAATCGATCTGTTGCTCCGAATATTCGGCCAAAAAGGCAAGAAAATAGCCAGAAGGAGTTGATAATTCACAAGCCAGGGCATAATCCGATAACCATGACAATCCCAAATCATATCATACTGAATTCCAAAACAAAATTCTTCACGCACACGTTTCCGAGACCTAAGAAGCAAAATCCGTGGGCAAAAAATTCGAGAGATAGCGAGAAGGAGACGAAACGCGATGGAACCTGGTGGAAGGAGAGGTTGTCGCCGTGTTCGGCGGCGAGTTCCTTCACGCGGTGGAGAGCGACGGCGGATGAATTGTCGAGATTGTCGACAACGACGGCGGAGTAACCTCCCTCCAGCAGCTGAAGCACCGTGTGACTGCCAATGTATCCGGCGCCGCCGGTGACGAGTATCTTCTTCGCCATGGAAACTGACACAACAAAAAAATGTTTTTTTTTTTGTGAGGAGTGTTTGTTTGGGATTGTGAAGGAATTTGGGTGGGTTTTATAGAGAGATGAAGAAGTTACGTGAAGAAATTAAAACATGGAAATTTGAATATAACGCAGATTTTACGTTTAGAGAGAGAGAGTATATAGAAAATGGTGCCACGTGGCATTATATGGTCTGGGTGCGAATATACGAACTGAGGCCGAGTTCAGTTAATACCCTTCCAAATCTTTTGATTTATTGTTTTTAAGGAAAATATTTTCCTTATTTATGTTCTGAAATTACCGGAAATATCTAGATTCGTGATTTTTAGAAATTAACCACAATGTTTTTAGAAATTAATAAATAGAGTTTCGTTATCCCTAAGTATAGATTGCAAAAGGCCAGAAGATATTTATGCATTTTCTATTTTTTATTTGGATATATATATATATATATATATATAAGTCGTTTTTTAAACTATATAAGTTGTTTGTTTTGCTAATGGAAGTTTCGCATTTGAAAAACATTTCTCCAGAAAAACCGGGTTCACGATATTTGAGAATTTCCGATATATGATATTGTTTCCATATATATATATATATATATATATATATATATATATATATA